GACCCTGGAAAACAACAGATGATGGCTCAAACATGTGGCCCCCACCATTCACATGGGAGATCTATGAGTTCTGGGCTTCTAGATTTGGCCTGGCCCAGCCCTCACTGTTGCAAACGAGCAGATGAAAGATCTCTCTCTGCCAGTCTCTGTGTATCTCTGGCTATCTTCCAAATGAAAATAAATCAAAAAGCAATAATAAATAAAACCAGAAACACTTGCTTCACTCCTATTGTTGCTCCTCTAATCTAAAAGCAACTATTTTAAACTCCAGCATTTATTTTTATTTATAAATAACTTGCATTTACTTTTTTTTATTTTAAGCTTTTTTTTAAAAAAAAGATTTATTTATTTATTTGAAAGGAAGCAATGCAGAGAGGCAGAGGCAGAGAGAGAGAGAGAGAGAGAGAGAGAGAGGTAGGTAGGTCTTCCATCCACTGGTTGACTCCCCAAATGGCTGCAATGGCCAGAGATGGGCTGATCCAAAGCCAGAAGCCAGGAACTTCTTCCAGGTTTCCCACGTGGGTGCAGGGGCCCAAGGACTCGGGCCATCTTCTATTGTTTTCCCGGGTCATAGCAGAGAGCTGGATCAGAAGTGGAGCAGGAGGGGCCGGCAACGTGGCTCACTTGGTTAATCCTCCACCTGCGGCACTGGCATCCCATATGGGCGCCAAGTTCTAGTCCTGATTGCTCCTCTTCCAGTCCAGCTCTCTGCTGTGGCCTAGGAAGGCAGTGGAGGATGGCCCAAGTGCTTGGGCCCCTGCACCCACATGGGAGACCGGGAAGAAGCACCTGGCTTCTGGCTTCGGATTCGCATAGCTCTGGCCGTAGTGGCCATTTGGGGAATGAACCAACAGAAGGAAGACCTTTCTGTCTGTCTCAATGTCTATAACTCTACCTGTCAAATAAAGAAACAAAATTAAGGAAAAAAAAAAAAAAGAAGTGGAGCAGCCAGGTCTCAAACTGGCACCCATATGGGATACCAGCACTGCAGGTGGTGGCTTTACCCGCTACGCCACAGTGCCGGCCACTAAAAAGTTTAATTATGTCTCTATTATGAAGTCTGTGTTTCTCTGTCTCTCGTACTGAAATGTATATGGTTATCTATCCATCCCAATTGTGTCTGGAGCCATCTGTCTTCCCACACTAAGACTTTCACTCGAGGCCTGCTACCCAGTTCTCCCTGGGATTTCCCTTCATCATCACCATCATCCTGGGTGTATCTTAAAAAAAAAAAAAAAAAGATTTATTTATTTATTCCAAAGTCAGAATTTACAGAGAGAGAGAGAGAGAGAGAGAGAGAGAGAGAGAGAGAGAGAGAGAGAGATCCTCCAATTGCTAATTTACTACCCAAATGACTGCAGTGGCTGGAGCGGATCTAGTATGAAGCCAGGAGCCAGAAGCCTTCCCAGGTCTCCCATGTGGGTGCAGAGGCCCAAGGACCTAGGCTGTGTTCTGCTGCTTTCCCACACACACCAGCAGGGAGCTGGATCAGAAGTGGAGCAGCCGGGACACGAATCAGCACCCTTATGGGATGCTGGCTCTACAGGTGGGGGCCTTAACCACGATGCCACAGGGCTGGCCCCCGGGAGTATCTTTTGCTGGGATTCCATTTCCTGGATCCCATCTCTTTTATTTTTCTTGGTTCTTTTTTCTCCTTCATTTCTGTGGAAAACATTATCCAGTTTCCTCCCATGAAAATACAGACAAATGTTATGGGATTCTTGCATGCCTGCAAGTGTCTTTCTGCTATTCTCACACCAGACTTCTGTACTGGAAACCACGTTCTCTCGGAATTTGGAGGGATTGTTCTATTCTCGCACGGCTTCTTGTCGTGTGATCTGCTTTTTCTCTCCAGAAGCTTTGAGGAGTCTTCCTTCTTCTGTCGCTACTGTTCTTAGTTTACATCTTCTTGCAGTCATTGTGCCAGGGCCCGGGAGAGCCTTCCGTCCTGGAGACTCACTGTCACCATTTCTGGGAATTTTTTCATTCTTGTTCTAGAACTAAAATGGGTATTGGGCCTTCCTCAAATTCTCTTTTCCTTCTTATTTTCTATCCCCTTCACCTGCTTTAACTCTCCCATTATAGACTTTAAAAATCGTTCATGTTTTTAATTTTCAAGATTTTGTTGTTCTTTTCTGATCCTTCTTTCTCTTCTTCTCTTCCCTCCTGACTCTGTCTCTCTCTGTCTCTGTCTCTCTCTCTCTCTAATGGCATCGTGCTTCTTCATCATGGATGTTGCTCTGAGGCTTTTAGAGACTTTTATTTAAGATTTCTTTGGTTCTCTACTATGTCTGGTTTTTTTGTTTTAGGCTTTGACCTTCATGAAACTTTCATTATACATCTGTTTGTTTTTGATTGTCTATTTTTAGATTATTTATTTATTTAAAAGGTAGAGGTAGAGAAAGAGAAGGAGAGAGAGAGAGAGAGAGAGATCTTCCATCTGCTGGTTCACTCCCCAAATGGCTGCAATGGCTGGGGCTGGGCCAGACTGAAGCCAGGAGCCAGGAGCTTCTTCGAGGTCTCCCATGTGGATACAGGGGTCCAAGTATTTGGGTCATCCTCTGCTGCTTTCCCAGGCATATTAGCAGAGAGCTGGGTTGGAAGTGGAGCAACTGGGACTGGAACTGGTGCCCATATGGGATGCCAGCACTGCAGGCTGCAGCTTAACCCGCTGTGCCACAGCACCAGCCCCAATTGTCTATTTATTAAGAAGTGATAATAAAGCCAGTGCCGCGGCTCACTTGGCTAGTCCTCCGCCTGCGGCGCCAGCACCCCAGGTTCTAGTCCCGGTTGGGGTGCCGGATTCTGTCCCGGTTGCTCCTCTTCCAGTCCAGCTCTCTGCTGTGGCCTAGGAAGGCAGTGGAGGATGGCCCAAGTGCTTGGGCCCTGCACCCACATGGGAGACCAGGAGGAAGCACCTGGCTCCTGGCTTCGGATCAGTGCCGTGCGCCCGCCGCAGCGTGCCGGCTGCAGCGGCCATTGGAGGGTGAACCAATAGGAAAGGAAGACCTTTCTCTCTGTCTCTCTCTCACTATCCACTCTGCCTGTTCTGCCTGTCCAAAACAAACAAACAAACAAACAAACAACTCTGTTGGGGGAGGAGAAAGGCTGAAAGTGACAAGCTGAATGTTCTACTGAGGGGTGTTCCATAATCCATAGTCATAACTAGGTCTTTTCTCCATCTTCAGAGAGGAATCCTGGTATTCTCTCATATCCTCTAATCCACTGCTTCTCAAAATTTAAAATTTAATGTGGGTGCCGGTGTGGTGTAGCGGGTTAAGTTTCCTCCTGCAATGTGGTATCCCTTATTGGTACAGATTCCTGTCCCTGCTGCTCCACTTCCCATCCAGCTCCCTGCTAATGGCGTTGGAAAGGCAGGGGAAGATGGCCCAAATGCTTGGGCTCCTGCCACTCATGTGGAAGACCTGGATGAAGCTCCTGGCTTCTGACTTCTGTATGGGCCAGCCCTGTCTATGGTAGCCATCTGGGGAGTGAACAAGTGGATGGAAGATCTCTGTCTCTTCCTCTCTTTCAAAATAAATAGTTCTTAAAAAAAATAAATTTAGTGTGTGTATAAATCACCTGGGAGGAATCCCATTAAAATGCTGATTCTGGTTTGGAAGGCCTGGGGTGGGGGCCCAGATTCTGCGTTTACAACCAGCTTGCAGGGGTGCCAGTGCAACTGGTTCTTGGGCAACAATCTGGGTGGCCAAGTTCTAATGTAAACCTGGTCCTGGTGGTCTACAAACTGACAGAGGGAAGGCGCAGGAGCTCTAAGGGTTTTGATTCCTGCAACCTGTTTTTTCAGCTCCCCATTGGAAGCAGCAACTGTGAGAACTGCTTTCATGTGGTTTTCTCTCAGCCCCTCCTGGACCACCAGGCCCCAGCGATTTACATCAGCTTTCCCTTCCTTATCAGCCTGGGAACAGGATGTGCAGCTTCATTTCAGTTCCCAGGCTCCCTGCGACACTGCAGTCCTCTCTCTATTGGTGTCTCATGTGCTCAAGTCCAGAATATCTTCAGTTCACTTTCTGGAGGAGGCAAATCTCATCCGCTGGTGTTTCTCTCATTCTCTTTGTTCTTGTAGATTTTATTATCTTGTGGATATTTTTTTAATCCTTTCCCACTCTATCAGTGAAGCTTGGGAGCGAATGAGGATAAATTCGTGTGCTCAAACCACATATTTAAACAATCTTTTACCAAACTTTTCCAAAAGTATTCTATTTATTATCAACTATCTTCTGCAGTGTAGAATGCAGTTTATAAATTGTTTAAATCTGCCATCATTTTGTTGTTTTCTACTTTTTCCACTTTTACTATATTTTCTTTCCTTGTCTCCTTTTTGACTGAGGTTTTTTTTTGTTTTGTTTTGTTTTTTGTTTTTTAATTTTTGACAGGCAGAGTGGACAGTGAGAGAGAGAGACAGAGAGAAAGGTCTTCCTTTGCCATTGGTTCACACTCCAATGGCCGCCGCGACCAGCGCGCTGCAGCCAGTGCACCGCGCTAATCCGAAGGCAGGAGCCAGGTACTTCTCCTGGTCTCCCATGGGGTGCAGGGCCCAAGCACTTGGGCCATCCTCCACTGCCTTCCCGGGCCACAGCAGAGAGCTGGCCTGGAAGAGAGGCAACCAGCACAGAATCCGGCGCCCCGACCGGGACTAGAACCTGGTGTGCCGGCGCCGCAAGGCAGAGGATTAGCCTAGTGAGCCGCGGCACCGTCTTGACTGAGTTTTAAAATTGTTCTTTTTTCCCTCTCTTCTACAGCTTTTGAGTTATATGGCTTTCTACTCAATTAATAACTAGTCTAAAAATTGCAACAGGTATTCCTGATCAACTTGTGGTAACATTTTCTCTAAAATAAACAACCGCTATTCTGTACATTTTGATAAGTTTTGACAACCTATATACCGACTATTTCTCCACTACAGTAATCAACCTATAGGGAAAGCAATCTTGAAAAGATTAATCTACGATTTGTTAATTGTTCCTGCTCTCTTCTGCTTTTTTTTTTTTTTAGATTTTTATTTATTTGAGAGGTAGAGTTACAGACAGAGATAAAGGTCTTTTATCTACTGGTTCACTCCCCAAATGGCTGCAACTGCAGGAGCCAGGAGCTTCTTTCAGGTCTCCCACGTGGGTGCAGAGGCCCAAATACAAAGAGGAGCAGCCAGGACTAGAACTGGTGCCCATATGGGACAGCGGTGCTGCAGGCGGGAGCTTTAGCTCACTACACCACAGCACCGACCCCTATCTTCTGCTTTTTCTGCCTGCAAGACTCACCCACTCTGTCTAGCTCGTCAGAGCTCTTTTCCATTCTGTAGATTGGACTCTGCCTGATTCATGAGTCACTAATACAAGGCAGTTAGATCTTTGAAACTCAGTTTATTGAAATGTGCTTTGACACCCTTGTTTCCTTGTTCATGCTGGTGGCTCAGCCTGGCCCACACTCCCTCTGCCTGCTTGCTACTCAACACTTGCCCAGGCTTTAAGGTGGGACTCGGAACGCACCAGCTTCACAGCCTTCCCTCCCCTCCAAACTTGGCCATTTTTTGTTGTTGTTGTTGTTTGTTTTTTGACAGGCAGAGTGGACAGTGAGAGAGAGAGAGAGACAGAGAGAAAGGTCTTCCTTAGCCATTGGTTCACCCTCCAATGGCCGCCGCGGCTGGCGCACTGCACTGATCCAGGTGCTTCTCCTGGTCTCCCAAGGGGTGCTGGGCCCAAGCACTTGGGCCATCCTCCACTGCACTCCCTGGCCACAGCAGAGAGCTGGACTGGAAGAGGGGCAACCGAGACAGAATCCAGCACCCCTACCGGGACTAGAACCCAGTGTGCCGGCGCTGCAGGCAGAGGATTAGCCTAGTGAGCCACGGCGCTGGCCTTGGCCATTTTGCTTGCCTCTTTCTTGAAGCACTTGCACTCTGCCAGGTTTGTTATTCATGTCCTTGCTTTCTTCTTGTGATTAGGTTGCAAGCCTGAGAGCTTATCCTTTGCAGCTTTGTGGCCTTTACTTACCAGCAGCTCAGGAATAATTATTGAATAGACATGCATTTTACTTTGACCACAAAGGCTCCAGATCGTGAGTTGATTGCATCATTCCCCCAATCTTGGACCCTCACCGTGGAGAGAGCTGTTTAGCAACCCACCCTTTACCACCTCCTGCTTTGCCAGGGTTATGCCAGCATCGTGAAAACCTCTGAAGTTTGACCTTAGATCCAACTTGGATCTTATTTGTCATCAGATTGTTGATTTGACCTCTGATTTGACCTTTCTTTCCCTTCCTCCTTCTCTACCACCTCTTCCATTCTTCTGGCTCTGCCCTTGTGTTTCTGTGTGTAATTACCTAAATTCTTTCTGGTTTGCCTAACTCCCCAGCTCTAGTTCACCACACACACACTGGGGGTAATGAGAATACTATTTAATGCACTGATAAATTAATAACTTGCTAAATTAAATATGGCATGCTTATTGGACCTAGCTTTCACATACGCCCACAGTCTCTGGATAATTACCTCCTGCACATGTCCTCTGGTTCTAGAAGCAGACACATGACCAGACCTTACCAGAAGATCACCTCTCTGGCCACAGCTACTGGTTCAGGATGGCTGAGCCTGCAAGAGATGGTGTCCTGATGACGTAGTTTGAGTCCCTTGACTTGACCTTGCTTGAAGCTGGATGCACCGCTGAACTCCCTGGTTATGAAGTCAACAGATTTCCTTTATTAGTTAAAGTTGTTTCAGTTAAGTGCAATAAAGTTTTAATAAATAGCATTAAGCATAGTACCTTGAATGTGTTAGATACTATTTTTATTATCCTTATTACCTTGCCATAACTCCTACCCAGTTCAATCTTTTCTTTCTCAATGTCTACCCATATAGAGCAGCTAGAAGTTTTTTCTGGCTTGCTTCTTGCTTGCACACTACTAAAGGCAAGGGAAAAAAAATTCTACTATGCATATGATCACCAGACTCTTCCTAGGTGGAGATTTTTGTTGTTATTTCCCAAAGAAACATATATAGTACTGGACTCACAGTTGGTGGTCAATAAATATGTTTTGGAAATAAATGAATGGATGTAATTTAAAAGGACTGATATTCTATTTAGGACTTTTTGTTGACCTAGCTAAATTTCTTCCTAAGCAAACTTTTTATTATTAAACCATTTTCATGATAGCACAAAAAAATCACAATGCTTCCCCTCTTCATTCCTCCCAACTCTGGGAATTCAGAATTCTTTCGGCCAAGTGTCTAAGGAATGAATATTCTATTTAAAATGAGTAAATAATCAGTCAAGGCCTATTTTTTCATCATACATATTTTATTTATCTGGAGGGTATTGAATCTGACCTTTCAGCAGTTTCTTGTCTTGGTTCACTAGTGACATTAGTGATGCACAGACAAAGACATCCTGAGATGCAGAGAAAAAGTATGTGTAGGGGAGACATTTTTGGTGTTTATGTTTCTTCTTTTGGTTCTAAACAGTCAAACATTCTTCTATTCCAAATAAGTTAGTTTCCACTGAGATGAAGGATGTTACAAAACAACTATTTGAAATCAGAGGTCTGTGCCTTTGTTTATTAAATTTAATTGCTGTATGGTTTAATGGAAAGGCCAGGGGCTGGTGAATTAAACTCTTTAAAATAGCTAACGATTAAAGTGAATTAAATTTAGCGCCTCTGGGATTTCTGATACATGTTCCAAATTTGTTTTTAATGACATAATTGTTCCATGTTACATTTAAGATTACATCAGAGTGAACTGGTTATGTGTGCAGCTACGCTAATAGAAACCAATTCCAAATTTAAAAAGTGAAAGTGAGGACAATGGCCATGTTACCCCCCCAAAAAAAGTAACAGCTGAAAATGGAAGAGAAACATGTAGGCTGGACACAGTTTTAATATGAAAGCTCTAGGCAGAAAAACCCAGAGATCTCATGCATTAGGATGGCTTAATGCATTTTCAACAGTATTTAAACCATTATTTTACTTCTAAGTGTAAGTCAGCGCGTTCTCTCCAGATATTTATTCACTTATTTTAGTGGAAAAAGATAGCTCCCGATCACATAAGTGGGAATGGTGTTAAATAAATTTTGACAACACCTATCAAGAAATAAAAGGTACTAGTCATTTGCATAAAGAGTAATATTTCATGTTTTAAAAGAACAAAAAAATCAAAGTCTTGCTTCTGCTGGTCTTATTATGTTTTTTTAATTCTTAACTAAAAGTAACTGCAATATTCTTTCATCTCTGGGGCTTTCCCTTCTACAATTAATCATCTTTTCTTCCACATCTTCCTTCCAAATGCCTATTCCCCCTAGCTTTGGAACACTTGACAGTAATTCGTACTATTTCATCTTCACAGCTTTCAAAACATTGCCCTGCCCTGGCTTAGCTTCCCATGCCACTCCTTTCTTTGTAAAACTTGGTGAACTCCAGTGTTTTTGCACCGCTCTTTGCCAGATGATGCTACCATCGACTCAGAAACTACCTTTGCAACGCAAATTAGCTTCCATAATCTAGCGCAATCAAACTTGAAAACTCTATGTTTAAACCCCTTAGGATAATGAACACCTATCTTTCAACAGCAGCAGTACATTCATTGTAAACATTTCCAAGACTTGGACCTCAAGACTTTCTCCTTCACCGTCCTGTCCCTAGAATGCAAGTCCTTGATCATCAGAACCCAGCCCGGTCTCCCCAGCCACGCCAGCGGCGCAGGCACGGGAGACCTTTCAGAAGTCATCCCGCTTCTCATGTAGAGGCAGCCTAGCCAGGCGTCCTTTATAAACATCACTCCAAGAGGTGCTTAAGTCTCAGGAGGTAAGCCTTGCAATTCATAGGCTAAGGGGCGGGAGGGCAGGTGGCAAAGAAGTCCTTTACCCATTTTTTTTTTTTTTTAATTAAAACCGAAGCCAGTTCGATTACTTTTGCAAGTCTGAGCTGCCATTTGCCAAGCATCTTGTCGACAGCCGTCCGGAGTATTACATTAACCGACTCCTAGCCAAATCAGGTTTTAGGAGAAAGTGTTTCCCGTGCTTACATTGACGAACGAGTTACCAGACGTCCTTAAAAATCGACTGTCAAACTTTTCTGTTTACTCTCCTTAAATACAGAAGGGAAAGGGTGGCACACGACTAAGGTCCGTTTCTTAGCGGATGTCTGGTGCGGAGCCAGGCGCTCACCTGGACACAACAGAGGCAGGGCTTTCCCGGCTGGCCTCCCTGGGGGAGGGGCTGGACAGCGCCAGACCTTTGTCCTCGGGACCTGGACAGGGGCGGGGGTACCTTCTGGGAGTCACGCAGGCACCTGCATCCCAGGAAACCACGGACCCGCTTTGGACTTCAAAGGCTGCCCTGGCTTAATCTTCGGTGGTGCCCTCCAGCTTGGGGCGGGAGTTTGTCACCCCAACCTTAGCTGCCTCGCCCGCGGAGACCCGGGAAGGGGCGACTGGCCATTCTAAAGAGTTAGGGGTCCCCCCTTCCCTCCACGCTCTCGTCAGGCGCGCGGGGCGGCTGGCATGGACGGGGTGAGCCGGGGCCGCGGCGGGCGCAGACCCGGTTTCTGCTCGGTGCCCCTGCCGCGTCCGTACCGCCACCGTGAGGCCGAGCCAGGGACGGTGCCCCGTGGCGGCGGCGGCGGCGGCGGCGGCAGCAGCGGCGGCTCCGCGCTCCTCTCCGCGCCGCCCCGGCCGCCGCCGCGCCGGGGACGGGCGGGGGGATTTTTCTCCCGTTTCCCCCCTTTCGCGCTCTCGCTCCTGTTCAGCGGGAGAACCCGCGGAGCCAGGGAGGGAGCGAGGGAAGGGGTGGAGGTGGCGGGGGGGAGGCCGGAGGGGCGGATCCTGCCTGGGGGCTGATCCCTCCCTCCCCTCGGCCGGGCTCCGTGGCGGCAGCGGCGGCGGCGGCGGCGGCGGCGGCTCCATTCCCCCTCCTCCCCCGGGAGCGGCGGCGGCGGCGGCAGCCGAGCCGGGGCCCCACCGCGGGCCGGGAGGGGGCACGGCAGAGGCCGCAGAGATCGGCGCGGGAGGAGGCCGCGCTCCGCTCCCCGGGCCGCGCCGATCTGCTCGGCGGCCGGCCCTCCCGAGCCCAGGCGCCCCGAACGGTGTGGGGTCGGGCCGGCGGCTGAGGTAATGGGGGCGGCAGCGGGACCAGACAGAGCCAAGGAGCGGGCAGCGGGGCCTACGGGGACCAAGGACTGCGCGGGGCAGGGAGGGGGACGACTGGGGAAGCGGGAGGCTCCCTGAGCGGGGCGGAGGCGGCGCGAAAGCTCTCCTCTGGAGCGAGGGCGGCGGCAGGGAAGGAGAAGGCGGGTGAGGGGGGGAGCTGAAAAGCAAGGACCCCCTCCCGCAGCCGCCATCTTGTCTCCCCCCCGCCTCTGGAAGTCGAGCTGCCAAGCCCCGCCCCCGCCACGTTCTCCAATTGGCCAGACTAGCGGAGAGTCCCGCCCCTTGGTTGGCCCTTGGTTCCCCAGTTCCCCCTGACGAGCAAGTCAGGCGGCCAATGGGCACTCGGCTCTCTGCCTCGCTGGTTCGCTGGCGCTCGCTTTCTCTGTCTGAGGGTCCGATTCCGTGTCTGTCTACTGCGCTCTCCTCCGGTCTGAGGAGATGTTATTTCTCCTGTTTCCTCTTTGAGGGCCCAAAATTCTTCTGGAAGAGGTGCCCCTTAAATGGGCGGGAGAATCCTTGACTGGGGGTTGTGTGGAGTGCAGGGGGCACAGTCTGATTGCAGAAACTCCCTGTTCTTGGGAGACCCAGGGAGGGGGGATGGGCAAGTGGGGGCCCTGAGGGGACCGAAAAAAATCTCTAGAGAGGTGTTGGAAATATTTCTGGAGGAGGTGTGTATGTTCGAAGGACTATGTAGGTTGAGAAACTCCCGCCAAAAAAAACCCTCATCTAGACTGTAAGCTCCATGTGGGCGAAACGTGTCGGTCTCCCCGGCGTCAGCCCCCTCCCTCCGGGTGTGTGCTCCGCGGGGTCCTGAGGCTTGGTCCGGAGAGCTGGGGCGGGGCGGGGGGCTGCCGAGGAGGGAGCGGTGGGGCGGACCGTTGGGTGGCTTAATTGAAGGCAGGGGCCCCTCCGGTCTCCGGAGACTTGTAAGTTGGATGTTCTCACCTCTGCTCGGAGCTGCTTGCGTTTGGCGGGCTGGGGAATAAAACAGGTCTCTTGGCCCAGGCTGCCTGGAGGACTTGGCGTCCGTAAGGAATCTGGAGGCCAGGCGCCTCTGGAACCCGGACAGAACTGCTGGGCTGATTCTGTTTCCTTTGGCTCCGAGTGGAGTGGATGCCTGCCTGCCTGCCTGCCTGTCCTCGGCCAAATTGTGTTGTTTGTTTGTTTGTTTCAGTCACACTGGGAGTTTGGGAGGCCTTTGAAAGGAGGATGTTAATAACACCTTATTAACAAATGGCAACCCTGAAGAGGTAGATTTTACTGCCCTCATTTGACTGGTGGAGAGTGGAGGTACAGAGAGGTTAAGTGGCTTTCCCTGAGTCACACAGGGCCAAGGTTAGAACCTAGGTGGTCCTCAGAGCCTCTAGATGATGGCGTCTTTGTGATATTCTTACCTCCCAGTGAGAAGAGTTGAGAAGCTCTGTCACTTTCTAGCTTGGGTTAAGTCACATCTTTGTGAGCTTCTGTTTCTTTGTAACAAACGGAGAACATACTTTGTTTACTACTATTCCTCAAAGTAGTGGTGAGAAATACTAAAGGAAAATATATCTGTAGTTTGTAAAAGTATGCAAAATTATCACCTTGTACATTACAGATGAAGGTGGTAGAGCCTGCAACCAAGGTGACAAGTCTGTTTTTCCCTTTGAAATCGTCCCCTGTCCATGCCCTTCCAAATCCCTGTCCACTCTGTGGACCTTCCCAGAGGTGTTTCTTGGTGGTGATGTCTTTGGGGAGAACCTACCTCAGCGCTGTATGAGCTTCTTGTAGTTCCCTCCATCCAGAGAATGATGTGGGCATTTTGCTGCCCAAGAGTAGATTGGATTTAAGTGTTTTGGGAAAGAAGGTTTTTTTTTTTTTTTTAAAGATTTATTTATTTATTTGAAAGTGAGAGTTACACAGAGAGGCAGAGAGAGAGGGAGAGGTCTTCCATCCGCTGGTTGACTCCTCAATTGGCTGCAATGGCCAGAGCTGCGCTGATCCGAAGCCAGGAGCCAGAGCTTCTTCCGGTCTCCCCATGTGGGTGCGGGGGCCCAAGGACTTGGGCCATTTTCCACTGCTTTCCCAGGCCATAGCAGAGAGCTGGATTGGAAGTAGAACAGCTGGGTCTTGAACCAGCACCCATATGGGATGCCAGCACTGCAGGTGGTGGCTTTACCTGCTACACCACAACGCCGGCCCCAAGGAAAGAAGGACTTCTGAGATAACTGCACTGAGAGTTTATCTTGGCTACTGGGCCAATCACCTTGGCCTTAAGGCCAGTGAAGTTCCCCCATAGGCTACTTGGTGTTTGAGACATCTCTTGGAGCTTCTCCCACAGCTTCCAGGGTTTCTGCCTAGAAGTGTCCTGGGTAGTGCATCCTGGGTGCTGCCTTTTGCAGGGAAGGCATGGCACACTGTGGTTTGAAGCCCCTAGATCACGTGTATTGAGTGTTGTAGTCACCTTCACTGCTGGGGAGATCCAAGAGATAGGATTTGTGAAATGGTAAATGACGGGGAGGGCTGTAGACCTGTGAATTTTTGTTGCTGCAAATGGGCCCAGTGTTCGTATATAGAACTGGGAAGCGGATGCCGTTCTTGTTTTTCTTCTTTTCTGGAGCCTTAATTAGCCTCGTCTTTTCCATTGTTAGCTCGCCACAGCCTGGTGAACATAAGCAGAACATGTGGGTCTTTGCCTGTGTCACGTTGTAATGGTCTGTTTATTTTGCTGTCCCTTCAGGCGGACAGAGCTGCTTGAGGGCAGGGATGCTGAATGTTTAATTTCTCCTCTCGTTTAACTTGTACTTATTGAGCTCCAAGTGCTGAGGGTACAGCCCTGAGCAAGTCAGGCGAAACTGCCTCTCCTCAGGGAGCTTACATTCTAGTCGAAGGCAGCAGACATTAAACATAATCAACAGGCAAGTTACGTGGTGTGGTAGCAGATGGTGAGTGTTACAGGGAGAAATAGGATGAAAGGTAGCTTGCTGGTGGGGAGGCATTTGCAGTTTTAGATAGAATGGTCAGAGAAAGCTCACCGAGAAGTCACGTTTGTGGAAGGACTTGAAGGCCGCATGGATGTCCGTTGAGGGGCTGGTTGTTCACACAGTCTTCTCGGTGGCCGCTTGATCACATGGAAGGGGGAGTGGGTACAGGTGCATGTGAACTTCCAGCTCACGGTCTCCTGGCCTTCTCTCCTTAGGCCTGTGCCTTGGTTCCCAGGGGCCATGAGGAAGCCTCGTCGGAAGTCGCGGCAGAACGCCGAAGGCCGGCGTTCCCCATCCCCCTACAGTCTCAAGTGCTCACCCACCCGGGAGACCCTGACATATGCTCAGGCCCAGCGGATTGTTGAGGTGGACATTGATGGACGCCTGCATCGTATCAGCATCTATGATCCACTCAAAATTATCACTGAGGATGAGCTAACTGCCCAGGATATCACTGAGTGCAATAGTAACAAGGAAAATAGTGAGCAGCCTCAGTTTCCCGGCAAGTCCAAGAAACCCTCGTCCAAGGGCAAAAAGAAGGAGTCCTGCTCCAAGCATGCATCTGGAACCTCTTTCCACCTCCCACAGCCCAGCTTCCGCGTTGTGGACCCTGGCAGCCAGCCAGAAGCACCCCCACTGCCTGCAGCCTACTACCGATACATTGAAAAGCCTCCTGAGGACCTGGATGCAGAGGTAGAGTACGACATGGATGAGGAAGACCTCGCCTGGCTAGACATGGTGAATGAGAAGCGGCGAGTAGATGGACACGGTTCGGTGTCAGCCGACACATTTGAGCTGCTGGTGGACCGCCTCGAGAAGGAGTCGTACTTGGAGAGTCGCAGCAGTGGGGCCCAGCAGTCCCTCATTGACGAAGACGCCTTCTGCTGTGTGTGCCTGGACGATGAATGCCACAATAGCAATGTCATCCTCTTCTGTGACATCTGCAACCTGGCCGTACACCAGGAGTGCTATGGTGTCCCCTACATCCCCGAGGGCCAGTGGTTATGCCGCTGCTGCCTGCAGTCCCCCTCCCGGCCCGTGGATTGCGTTCTCTGTCCCAACAAAGGGGGCGCCTTCAAACAGACCAGCGACGGGCACTGGGCCCACGTGGTATGTGCCATCTGGATCCCTGAGGTCTGCTTTGCTAACACTGTGTTCCTGGAGCCCATCGAGGGCATCGACAACATCCCGCCGGCCCGCTGGAAACTAACCTGCTACATCTGCAAGCAGAAGGGGCTGGGTGCAGCCATCCAGTGCCATAAAGTGAACTGCTACACAGCCTTCCATGTGACATGCGCACAGCGAGCTGGGCTCTTCATGAAGATTGAGCCCATGAGAGAAACCAGCCTCAACGGCACCATTTTCACAGTGCGCAAGACTGCCTACTGTGAGGCCCACTCGCCGCCAGGTGCGGCCACTGTGAAGAGAAAGGGTGACTCCCCCAGAAGCCTCAGTGAGGCTGGGGATGAGGAGGGGCTGAAGGAGGGTGGTGGGGAGGAAGAAGAGGAGGAAGAAATGGTGGAGCAAGAGCAGGAAGGCCAAGGCCAGGGGGTGGGCGGCCCTCTCAAAGGAGCGCCCAAGAAGAATAAGGCAAATCTGAAGCAAAAGATCAAGAAGGAGCCCGATGAAGTGGGCCGAGACACACCCTCCACTGTCCCCATGGTCACTGTCCCACAGATACCCTCCTACAGGTGAGCCTTCCCGGAAGAGCTCCTTAAGGACTTGTGGTTTCTCTTGGGCTGGCGTTGGCCCTGGGTCACGTCTTATCTGTGCCACCAAATTTAAACTTCTCCTGTGGATCCTGGGCTTACCTGACCTGGTTTGTGGTTTTGATTGTTCTTTTGGTTTAAGGTGAAATAACACACTTAGGTTGCTTAGAAACTCAGATGACATGGTCTCTATAGCAGTAGTTTTTGGCAGGGGCACTAAGTGGCATTTTGGGCAAGGTAACTTTGTCATTGTTAGAACTTGAGCCATGCATTTCCAGATGTTTGGCTTTGCTTGTCTTTGTAAATGCCAGTTGTAAATCCCCGTTCCAAATTCTGTTCTAGGTGACAAACCCAGACACTCCCCACACAGGTTTCCAAAAACTCTTAGAACTAATCCCAGTGCAGAACCACTCTGTCAGGGCCAATATGGGTGCCTGCTGCTCTGTCTTTGCTGTGATAGGGACTTTGCATAAGGGGATGGTATGGGGAAAACCTGCTATTTCTCCTCTTGAGAAGCATTAGATTTAGGGGAAAAGATCACTCAGTTGAACTATGTAACAGTCCCCTGGGCCCCCCATTAAATGTGTGTAGAGAAACTGTTGAATGTGTTTAAAACCATCAGGGAGGTAGCTGGAACTGCTGGAAAAATGGGAGCTTGGCAGAGAATCAAGAGACAGGCAAGATTTTCAGTAAAGGCTCATTGCAAGGGTCATGTCATTAAAAGGTGTACATTGTTAGAACAGGAAGGAATCCTGGAGATTATTCATCTAATGTAGTCCTTGCACCTTCTCCCACACCCCCAGATGAAGAAACTGCGGCCACAGGAGGTAAAGTTGTTTGCTCCTTTTTTCATTCAATGAGATATTTATTGAGTACTTACTATATGCCATGTCCTGTTCTAAGGGATGGAACTGGGTGGAAAGTGGCAGACCCTGGACCACAGTCTGGGGCCCATGAAGCCTCTAGATTATTTCCTGCTGCCCACCTCTCTTGATGGGAAGAGTAGAGGGAAGAGAGTCTTAGAGGGTACTGGGAAATGAGTGGCTTGAGGGTACCAGGCAGCCAAACTTGCCAGGCTGGGAAGAAAACACGTGAGCAAGATGGGAAAGGGGACGCTCTTGTGAGCCATGGACCAACTTGGAATTTCAGCAACTCTAAACGTGTCAGAGAGCTGTTCTAGGCTACTGCTTTTCTGAGGGAAGTGTGTATTTGCCTAGGCCACATCTGTAGGGTGGTTATGCCCTGGGGCTAGACTCTGGTCTTGTCTGTTCTAGATGCCTCTTGCAGAGCTGGTAGAGCATGCTGGCTAAGAACCAAATGAACCTGTGTTTGGATCCTGCTTCTGTCACTTAGTGCCCATGTGACTTTTGGCAACATGCTTTACTGCCCTCAACCTTAGTTTATTGATTTGTAAATGCACCCAACACACAGAGATGAGAGAAGTAAATGAGATAATATAAGTAAAACACTTAGCACAGTGCCTGGCAAATAGTAAGTGCTCGATAAATGGTGGCTACTGCTGCTGTTGCTATTTTATTATTATTATTCTCTTCCCTACCTGCACAATTGCTGTTGGAACTCTCCATGGCCAAGAGGTTGTAGAGGGAGGGGCTGCCTGCATCTGGGCAGGTGTGCTTGGCATGGGCATTGGTGGGGAATCTGTCCTTTGGGAAAAGGCCTTAGGACTTAATTTCGTAAGCTTGGCTTGACTGTGGAGAGGAGTGAGGCCGAGGTGAGCAGTGTCCTGCCCAACTTGCCCATCCTTCTTGGGTTCCACCTCCAGTTTAGCCGTGCTTATCTTCCTTTCGTAGTGAGATGAAAAGGCAGAAGAAATTCCACGGGAGTACTGAGGCCTTGCCTACCCTGGGAATAACCGATCTGGGGACGTGCCATGGCATAGCAGAGACGTGGATTCCAGTTCCACCCAGACCGCTCCATCTTATGAGCTACTTTAGTGGGTCTTTTCTTTTCTTTTTTTTTTTTTAAAGGTTTTTTATTTTATATATTTGAAAGGCAAAGTGACAGAGAGAAAGAGGGAGAGACCATTCCTGAAATGGCTACAATGAGAAGGGCTGGGCCAGGCTGAAGCCAAGAGCCTGGAACTCCATCCAGGTCTCCCATGTGAGTGCAGGGGCCCAAACATTTGGGCCATCTGCTGCTGCTGCTTTCCTAGTAGGAAGTTGGATTGGAAGCGGAGAGCCTGGGACTTGAACCAGTGCTGTGGTATGGGACGCTGGCATCATAGGTGGTGGTTTAACCTGCTGCGCCATAATGCCAGCCCCTCTTAGTTATTTTGACAGTTTACTTAGCATCTGCTAAGTATTTACTTAGTATGCTGCTAAGCTCTTTCCATCTTCTAGGACAGGGGTTGTAGGCTCTCACTAATTCCTTTTCTCGCCCCTTTCCCTTCTCCCCAGGTGTTAATGGGTGAAACTCTGACCTTAAGGTGTCTCATTTGGGTAGTTTAGCCAGCTAAATTTTCAGATTCTCTGCCCTCTTACACTTTTAGATCCACCCCCCCCGCCCAGTTTGGTCCAAAATGACCATTTTTAGGCAGTTGAGATTTTTGAAATGAAAAACCAGACGTGAAGCAACTCTCCAGGGTTACATCTGGGCTCAGGAGGCAGTAAAGGATGTACTCCTGCTGGCGTTCCTGCTGGCTGGTTATGGGCTAGCCCCAGGGCCGCAGGAGGCAAGACGTGGTGACCACACTGCCCAGTGCTTACTCGAGTTCCTTTTCCCTTTCTGTGCCTTTGTCACTAGGAGGGTGGGAATGTTGAGGCACAGCCAGTGTGTGGAACAGGAGAGTCGAGGACCGGGAAACAGGGTTTCTGGGAGAGGATTCTTTTAGAGGTTCAGGGCTGCAAGGCAGAAGGTGGAAAGTGAGTGAAATACCTCATGCTGGATCTGAGCTGCTTAACTTTGCTGTCCTTTTAAGGCTTTCTGAGGTGAGGCATTTGGCCACTTATTCTCTCTTCCTCTGTAAGGTTCAGCAATTAACCAGGGTCTGGATGGGATGCTTGGGCTGCGATATGGGTTCGCCACTGACCTTTTCCTTCGCTTTCCTGTGCCTCTACTCAAGGTTGAACAAGATCTGTAGTGGTCTCTCCTTTCAGAGGAAAAACCAGTTCATGCAGCGGCTTCACAACTACTGGCTGCTGAAACGGCAGGCGCGGAATGGTGTCCCCCTCATCCGGCGCCTGCACTCCCACCTCCAGTCCCAAAGAAACGCCGAGCAGGTAGGTGTGAAGATGGCCTGAGGCCCATGGAGGAAGGAGGAGGGTGAGGAATGAGGGTTGGGGCAGGGCTGGACCCTCCTCTAGCCCCCCCCCCCCCCCATGGACCCTTTGCCTGCAGTGGATTATCCCTCCAGGGGGTCTATCCCAGGAATAACTCTTAATATCAGACAGCAGCCACTTCAGATGGGAGAGGTTTGGCATAGGAGGAGCACACTCTAGGGGAGAGTGGAGAGCAAGCCCAACTTCTCCAACATGGGGAAACTCTCCAGATGTGTGGCAGAAAGCAAGAGGAGATGGACTGAGTGAGAGCCAGTTCAGCCATGCTGCTTGAACGAGGAAAAGATGCCCTTTTCTCAAGACAGTAAATATACAAGTTTATGATCTCGGGAGGTTGCACAGTCTGACTGTGGTGGCCATCAGCCATTAGCAGCTGAAGTTGGCCCATCTGCTCCCCTGATACTGCCCCTAACATATCAGCAACCTCCTCCCAACAAGTTTGTCTCAGATTCTTACCTGTTGGCCACTGGGCTGCATTTGACATTACAGATCAGCTATCCGGGCGCTTCGTGACACCATCTCCACCTCTTCCAACCCTTTACATCTTCTGCTGATGCAACTTCTTGCTCTTTGAAGATAATATTTCTGCTGGCCTTGTTGCCACCTGCTTGCTTGGAGAACATGCCCACTCTAGTAACTAAAAACAACCGTGTGGTGGTAGGCCTAGAGTGTTCATCTTATCCTCATCTCCCACCCCCACCCCCCTTTTCCCTCAGTTGTTCTGGGACAGTTCCACGTGAATCTGTAACCCAGACACTAGAGGCTGAATTACCTCCTGTCAGTAAACTTACTTTCCCATTATTGTCCTGGAACCCTTCTCCCTCCTGACCTCATATTAAGAGTTCACCACATTGGAAGCACTTCTGACTGTTCCCCTCATAATGTGCCACAGTTAATCCCCTAAACCGTTTGGGGGGATTTATCTGTATCTGGCCCTTTGTCTGTTCCACAGCTACCCTGCCTACCCATGCCCTCGTCATCTCAGTAATGGCTTTCTAGGTGGTCTCTAGCCTCCAACTCCTTGTTTGTATGTTACTCACGTGCCATTTCCATCTGTCACTTCCAGAATACATTCCCCTTCTCCAGGTAGGCCAAGTCCAGGCTCTTGTCTGGCATTTGAGCTGCTTGTTAGCTGGATCCTGGGTTTTCCATGGTGGTTGTGGTTTTCTAGCTTCTCTGTTCTGGCCATCCTGTTTTGCTCACCAAACAAAGAACCACAGATCTGTCTCCACACTTCTACCCCTTTGGTCCCACTGGGTCCAGAAGAGGCCTGCCTTACTGCCTTGCCCATCTGTGTCCATCACTGTTCTGTGAAACCACTCATTAGGTTGCTTTTCCCAGGAAACCTTCCCTTCCTAACTCTGTTAAGCAGACCTCCCTATTTTGCATCCTCTTACCGTTTTTAAAGTAATTGTTAAGCCTTCTGGGGGGTGCAGTGAGGTGTTTGATGTGTGTACAGTGTTCAGATTAGGTAAGCATGGCTGTCACCTCAAACAGCTTCTCAGTGTTTTATTTCAGTTTACATGATCAGTTTTCGTTGTTTTCCTGCTAATATTTACTTGTGTTTCAAACTTCGGTTTCTTCCTTCTCCCAGCTACAACTGTAGCCTCTTCTAAGGGAGGAATAACAGTCTTTTGTTCTTAGGTTTTATCAAAGTATGTTCAAGTCACTTAGAACAAGCTTACAGTAAGAACTTCACTTTGTTTTCATTTTCTAGCCAAGTCACATCTCTAGGGAGAAATTCTTTCCACCCCTGAGATGTCTGTTCTGAAATTCTTTCATCCCTGAGGGGCTGACCGATCTTGGGTGTCCCCGGGGGTAGTGCAGAGCATTCCCCAGGTCTCACTCCAGGAGTGATTATTGGGCTACCATGTGGAAGCGTCGCTACTAGGCCAGGGAAACACAGTAGGAAGACGCTGTGTGCAGGGGGAATGGCAGGGCTCTCAGGGACTGTGGGCCGAGGCAGAGGACGGGATTGCTATCTGCTGAGGTTCTATGATGCTTGAATGGAGAGAGGTCTTTGGGCAGGAAGGAGGTCACAGCTCCTCCTCTTGCCTCCTACAGCGAGAACAAGATGAGAAGACCAGTGCAGTGAAGGAAGAGCTGAAGTACTGGCAGAAGCTCCGGCACGACCTGGAGCGGGCGCGGCTGCTGATTGAGCTGATTCGGAAGAGGGAGAAGCTCAAGCGGGAGCAGGTAGGAGGAGCCTCAGTCCTCGGCTCTTAGGGATTTTCTTCCACTCTTCGTGTGACGTTGGGAGGCCTAGGAGCCCCCGCCCGGTGCCAGCTTTCTAACTCCCCTTCTTGCTCAGCGTTATGTACTCCGTCTGGCAACTCTGTATTGGGTGTGATGCTGCTGATGTCTTCCGTGATTTGGGGTTTGGCTCCTAGTGGTGTCAAGCATAAGCTTAATATCACATACCTGGCACTCAACCCTGGAGTTTCTGGTGCAGAAATCTCAGAGGAAGCCTGGCCTTGAGTATTTTGAAAAGCTTCTCAGTCTTTTTTAATGGGCATCAGTGGTTTATAACATCCGCCAAGGGAGCTTCTGAGTTCTCATTTGGCCATTAAGCACTGGGTCGGCTTTGTGGGTTAAGCCACCACCTTGAATACCTCTACTCCATATGAACACTGGTTCGAGTTCCGATTGCTCTACTTCCAATCGAAGCTTCCTGCTAAAGTGCATGGGAAAGCAGGAAAAGATGGCCCAAGTACCTGAACCTCTGCCACCCACATGGGAGACCCGGATGGAATTCCAGGCTCTTGGCTTTGGCCTGGCCCAGCTCCACTCATTGTGGCAATTTGGGGAGTGAACCAGCAGATGGAAGATCAGTCTCAATCTCTCTCTCCCTCTCTCTCTTCCTCTTCCTCCTTCTCTCCCTCCCTTTCCTTCCTCTTCTTCCTCTCCCTCTCCCTCTCTGTGTCACTCTGCTTTTCAAATAAATAAATCTTTAAAAAAAACCCCACTTATGGTCTTGAATCATTTAAATTTCCCCATGTCTGTTCCAAGAGAGTCTTAGCCCTGGGCATGGAGAATGTTGAAGTAGGTAGGATAGCACAGGAGTTGAGGAACATGAGCTGTGGCACCAGATCGCCTTGATTTAAATCCTGGCTCTTCTGCTCAGTGCTTGTATAACATTAAGCAAGTTTGTTAATCTCTCTCTCTTTTTTTTGACAGTCAGAGTGGACAGTGAGAGAGAGACAGAGAGAAAGGTCTTCCTTTTGCCGTTGGTTCATCCTCCAATGGCCGCCATGGCCGGCGCACTGCGCTGATCTGAAGGCAGGAGCTAGGTGCTTCTCCTGGTCTCCGTTGCGGGTGCAGGACCCAAGTACTTGGGCCATCCTCCACTGCACCCCTGGCCACAGCAGAGAGCTGGCCTGGAAGAGGGGCAACCAGGACAGAATCCGGCGCCCTGACCGGGACTAGAACCCGGTGTGCCGGCGCCGCAAGGCAGAGGATTAGCTAGCCTATTAAGCCACAGCGCTGGCCAAGTTTCTTAATCTCTTAATACCTCCATTTCCTCATCTGTAACGTGGGGACAACAGTGGAGTCTACATCATAAGGTCTTTGTGAGGATTAGATAACTTATTTAGTATATAAAAAGAGCTTAGGGGGCTAGCACTGCGGTGTAGTGGGTAAAACCGCCACCAGGGAAGCCAGCAGCATCCCATATGGATGCCTGTTTGAGACCTGGCTGCTCCACTTTTGATCCAGCTTCCTGCTAATGCGTCTGGGAAGACAGTGGAGAATGGCCCAAGTGCTTGGGCCCCTGTCCCCTCATGGGAGACCTGGAAGAAGCTCCTGGCTCCTGGTTTCAGCCTGGCCCAGCCCCAGCTGTTGGAGCCATTTGGAGAGTGAACCAGTGGACAGAAGACCTCTCTGTCTGTCTCTACCTCTCTCTAACTCTGCCTTTCCAAATAAATAAATAAATCTTAAAAAGCTTAGGCCAGAGCCTGGCACAGGGTAAGGGAATTATCAGCTGTCATGGTGTTACTATAATGTTATTATTGATAACTCTGTCTCACTGAGGAATCTACTGCACATGACGGAGAGCAAATACTATTCATTGAATGGATGACAAGCCAAAACTATTCTCTCTAGTCCAGGAATAGCATGCTTCAGAGGTCTAGGTTAAAGATGTTCCTTTCTCTCTTTCTCCAGACTCTGTGTGACTGCTCAGCTCTAGCACAAGCCCTGCTCCAGCAGGCCAGTCGCCTGAGTTTCCACCTCCGAAGCTAGGCAGCTCTCTCCATGGTAGTGTGGGTGGCCACGGAGGACATCGCAGGACCACCTTTGCTTGTTCAGACTGTCAGTGCCCTCTCAGGTTTCTCTACCCACCTGCAGCTCAGAGAATTGAGAGAAAGAAAGGAGGGCCTGGCCCTGGGGAAGCAGGCTGGCCTGTTTAGATGTTACCAAGAGCAGAAACTTTTCAGTTGAATCTGTGGCTTCCCGCCCTCTTGACATTAGGGTACACAGGTAACATTTGTGCAGCGTGCCACTGTAAAAACATGGCTCTGCTTGCTGTTTGAGGGGTGATCCTGGAAACCCCGGCCCCTGCAGGATGAACAAGATGCTCCAAGGGCTGAGGGGACCAGTAGCTCAGTACACTAGGTAGGAAACTTGTCCAGGGTCCATTTTATATCACCAGTGTGCCCCTTGGACTAAGTCAGACCTGGGTTCAAATCCTGCCTCTGGTCTTTTCTAGTCAGGTGACCTCAGGCTAGTGACCATTGTACTCTCCAAACTTCAGTTCTCATGAGGATAATAATTTCTCCTTCAGCATTATTATCATGATTAACTGAGGTAGCACAGGCAGAGAGGCTTTGTGACTCGACGGTCAAGGGCACTCACTGTGAACCAAACCGGAACTAAATCCCACTCTGCCCTTTATTAGCTACATGACTCTAGAACAAGTTACCTAGTCTATGCCTCTGTTTTCTCTCTGTAGAAGATCTCATCTGTACCTGCTTCATGTATTCATTGCATAAAAGGCTTCAAACCTGACCTTGTACTTCTTTGGGCTGTAAAAGTATTAATTGGAGTCGTCATAATTATTGTTGCTGTAAGCTTGGGTATGGTACTTGATATGAAGGAAACAGTCACAAAATGGTGGTGTTTATCTTCCGTTTTTCTACAGCTATAACATTACCATGGGCTGGGTAATTTATAAAGAAAAGTTTACTTGGCTCACAGCTCCAGAGGCTGGCAAGTCCAAGGAGTGGCGACAGCATCTGCTGGGGGCTTCTGTGCTCATTATCTCAAGGAGGGGAAATGGGAGACAAGGGAGCGTGTGCAGAAGAGCTGGCTTTTATAACCAAGCCACCCCTGAGAGCGCTTCCATGAGAACAGCCTTCGTTCTTCATGGAGCCCTCATGATCCAACACCTCCCAGTAGGCCTGGCTGCCGACACTCTTGCACTGAGCAATAAGGTTCCAACACATGAAATTGGGGGTGGGGGACACTTTCCTTTTTTTTTTTTTTTTTTAAAGATTATTTATTTGAAAGGCAGAGTTACAGAGAGAGAGAGGGAGAAACAGATCTTCCATTCGCTGGTTCACTCCCACAAATGGCCTTAACAGTCAGGGCTGGGCCAGGACAAGCCAGGAGCCAGGAACTCCATTTAAGTCTCTTATGTGGGTGGCAGGGGCCAAGCATTCAGACCACCTTCCACTGCTTTCCCAGGTGCCTTGTTAGGGAGCTGGATTAGAAGGGAAGCAGCTGGGACTTGAATTGCGCTCATAGGGGATGCCAGCATCGCAGGTGGCGGCTTAATCTGCGCCACCACACTGGCCCTTGGGGGTGCTTTCACACCGTTGCACTGTTGGTTTCATGATTCCTGGGCAGCGGATTGGGTGATTGCTGCTATGTACTGGTTAGCTTAATACCCTGTGAAAAGCTGTTGTACGTGGTTGGTGAGTCAAGTTACCAAGAGAAGTGTTCAGTGCCTCTCTGCAGAGGATGCCCTGATTGCTCCCCCTCCTGCACAGGTCAAGATCCAGCAGGCTGCCATGGAGCTGGAGCTGATGCCTTTCAACGTTCTGCTGAGGACGACACTGGACCTGCTGCAGGAGAAGGATCCTGCACATATCTTCGCTGAACCTGTCAACCTCAGTGAGGCAAGTTTCCCCCACTTCCCAGGCCATGAACCCCTCCTGAGCTAGGAACTGGTTCTAATTAGGCCAGGAGGGGACGAGCTATAAGGTGTATAAAACTGGGGTTGGAGGGCTCTGGCAAAGCTAGTGGTAGACTTGACCACGGTGAGGGGTCAGCAGGAGGCCATGATGGGCCAGGCACCTGGGGCTCTAAGTGAGCCCAGTACGGCCAAATCAGAAAACAGGGAGACCAAGAAGGATGGTGAAGGGTGCATCTGTTTGGCTAGTAAATGGTTGTTGTAATTGTACAGGTTTTATATGTTTAGGTTCCAGATTACCTGGAATTCATATCCAAGCCAATGGATTTTTCTACCATGAGGCGGAAGCTGGAGTCCCACCTGTACCGCACCTTGGAAGAGTTTGAGGAGGACTTTAACCTTATAGTTACCAACTGCATGAAGTATAATGCTAAAGACACAATTTTCCACCGAGCAGCTGTCCGCCTGCGGGACCTGGGAGGGGCCATCTTGCGGCATGCCCGGCGGCAGGCAGAGAACATTGGTTATGACCCCGAGAGGGGCACCCACCTGCCCGAGTCACCCAAATTGGAGGACTTTTACCGCTTCTCCTGGGAAGACGGTGAGAAGCTGGGGTGGATGGGGAGGAGAGGGGCCAGGAGGAGGCACAGGGACAGAGCCCAAAGAACCAGGGATCAGGGTGGGCCTTGGGGCTGCCGGGTGGACTCCAGGAGCAAAGCTGGGGGTAAGCACAGATGGAGGTTATCTGCTGATAGCTGGGATAGTTCCAAGGGCTAAAGTTTAACTCATGCACTTAACATTTCTTGAATGGCAGGAAGGGGAAATGGGTGTCAGCTGTTGGAAAAGCTAAAGCCTTACCAGGGGTCTTCCTCTCCTGGAGCCCCTCAGTATAGCACTGGAGCATGGGGCGGGGGAGTGCAGTGCTGGTGTGTGTCTGGCTCGTTCAGAAGAGTGCAGGTGGAGGACCAGGAAAAGGGAATTGCCTCTGAGCCCCACACCCTCCCTGCCCCTGCTCTCTGCTTCTCGATGGCAGCAGCCACACAGTCACGCAGGCCAGGGCATTGCCAAGCCACCTTGTGCCTGCTCCACGGAGCCCATAATTGTGACTGTGAACTGCTTCCTGCAGCTGTTTCTCTGATTCTGACCTTGTCCCTATGGCTGCTTTCTGGGCAGTGGTGTTGCAGGGCCAAGGCCCCACAGTGACGCTTGCATCCGAAGGATTCGGCCCCTTGCCCTTGCCCTGGGCTGGGCAAGTTCTTCAGCCCCTTCTGTCCTCCCTTCTCCCTGGCAGTGGACAACATCCTCATCCCAGAGAACCGGGCCCATTTGTCCCCAGAGGTGCAGCTGAAGGAGCTGCTGGAGAAACTGGACCTGGTGAGTGCAATGCGGTCTAGTGGGGCCCGTACCCGCCGTGTCCGCCTGCTGCGCCGGGAGATCAACGCCCTTCGGCAGAAGCTGGCACAGCCACCACCACCACCACAGCCACCATCACTGAATAAGACGGTGTCCAATGGGGAGCTGCCAGCAGGGCCCCAGGGAGAAGCAGCTGTGCCGGAGCAGGCCTTGCAGGAGGAACCAGAAGATGATGGGGACAGAGGTGAGAGAAACTCACAGGAAGGAAGGGGGTGAAGTGAATGCAGGCTGAAATCTCTTACTGGGGGGGTCTTAAGGTTAGATCTGACTCTTGTGGGCAAGCAGAAGCCCTTGGAAGGGTTACCCTTCCACATTATTATTTAGGGATATTATTTAAAATCTTTAACAGCCAAAATTTATCTGTCCTAGTGTATATTGGCTGTTGTATTGGACTGGGCTCTTGGGGGCCCCTGATGGGAATATTCAATTGCTGGATTGTGGGAAGTGTCAGATGTTGGAACCTAATAGCTGCCAATTAAGTATTTCAGTATTTTGCACCTGATTTGGCTATATCATACATACCAGTTAAATATTAGCCTACCTAGTACTTTGACAGGTTAGGTTAGAGTGTAGAGGATAGCAGAAAAGACTAGACCCTAAGGATGGCCTGGACTCTGGAGCTACTTCATGGTTTGGACCCTGCCTCGCTGAGTCTATAGGCCTATTCCAAGCAGAGGCCAGACTGCAGGACAGCTGGGGAAGTGACTTCCATAAACCCATTTTTCCCCTTCACTGAGGACACTTTGTCTCTCATACCTGCTCTTGAGTCTGAGCCTGGGGCTTGGCCAAGAGGGCTCGCTACCCACACAGTCTAAAATGTTGAGAGGTACTCTGGTAAGGTAGGGCCCTTGTTTCTGGGAATGGCTCATTTTATTTTAGGTTGATAGAGAGTGCATGGGCTGACAGGTCTAATTTGGTGTTAGAGAGCTTTGTGTGCGTTGTGCCTCTTGCCAGCTCCCACTGTGGCAGTCAGTATGTCCCTAGATCCACGCTCCCCCCTGGGCTCTGGCACTATAGATTGAGACGGGGAGGTCTGGACAATGGCTTGTTGGTTCTAATTTTCAGTAGTTTCAAGATGGTAGGAGAGCAGACATGTTTGGAAACTTGATTTAGCGTACTTGATCAGTTTTCCATATCTGTAAACTTAAGCTCACTTCCTGCTGTTCTTGCTCTCTTATGGGTGATGTGAGACAGTTAACAGCAGAGGATAATACACTTGAGTCCAATGAGAACCGTAGACCCCAAATCTGCCAGGCTGAGGCTTAACCTAATTATTGATTAAGCAGCTTGTTTTCTTAGCTGTAGAGTGATGGTTTGCAGCCCTCACTTTGTTCTGCTCTTTAAAAAGCTTACCAGGTGAACTTTTAAAAAAAAATCCCCTCATTAGAAATTTGGCTTTAGTTGGTCTGGGGTGTGGCCTAGACTTTGGAATTTTTAGGAAACTTCCTAGGTGGTTCTAATTCGTGGCTAGGACTGAGAACTAGTAGTGAAGAAAATCTCGAATCCTTTCTCTTGGCCTCAGATACAAGACACAAGACGTAGGCCGGCGCCGCGGCTCACTAGGCTAATCCTCCGCCTAGCGGCGCCGGCACACCAGGTTCTAGTCCCGGTCGGGGCGCCGGATTCTGTCCCGGTTGCCCCTCTTCCAGGCCAGCCCTCTGCTGTGGCCCGGGAGTGCAGTGGAGGATGGCCCAGGTGCTTGGGCCCTGCACCCCATGGGAGACCAGGAAAAGCACCTGGCTCCTGGCTCCTGCCATCGGATCAGCGCGGTGTGCCGGCCACAGCGCGCCGGCCGCGGCGGCCATTGGAGGGTGAACCAACGGCAAAGGAAGACCTTTCTCTCTGTCTCCCTCTCTCACTGTCCACTCTGCCTGTCAAAAAAAAAAAAAAAAAAAAGACACAAGACGCATCTCTAGGCTTACCACAGCCCATGGTCCTTGGTTATCAGTGTCAGTATGTGGCTTATAGTGGCAGACTCTTTCTAAAATGTTCAAGCAGGTTCTCTTTTTCTCTAACAGATGACTCCAAATTGCCTCCCCCACCAACCCTGGAGCCTACTGGGCCTGCACCTTCCTTGTCTGAACAAGAATCCCCCCCAGACCCCCCAACTCTGAAACCCATCAGTGATAGCAAACCTCCAGGCCGATTCCTAAAGCCCAGAAAGGTGGAAGAAGATGAACTCTTGGAAAAATCACCTCTGCAGCTAGGGAGCGAGCCCTTGCAACGCCTGCTCAGTGACAATGGCATCAATAGACTATCCCTCGTGGCCCCTGACACCCCTGCCGGTGTCCCGCTTAGTGGTGTGGGCCGCCGCACATCAGTCCTCTTCAAGAAGGCCAAAAATGGGGTGAAGCTACCGAGGAGCCCAGACGGGGCTCTGGAGAACGGCGAGGACCATGGGATGGCAGGCTCTCCCGCCTCTCCAGCCAGCATGGAGGATGAGCACCACTCCCGGAAGCGGCCGAGGAGCGGAAGCTGTAGTGAGAGCGAAGGGGAGCGGTCCCCCCAGCAGGAGGAAGAGACAGGTGACTGCCTGTGACTTCTGTCGATCCCTCTCGTCTGCTGTCCTGCTTTGCCCTGCCAGCCAGCACCTTCCCCAGCTGCCCATCTCGTAGTGGCCCCTGTGGACGCCAGTAGTGGCAGTGAGGGCTCCTCAGCTCACAGCTGGGCCTGGCATATGAGCTTGGGCCTGGGAAGAGGGGCTTTGAGCAAGCATTTTCAGAAGACCAGACTCTGGGCTCTTTGGCACTGGGGGGAGAAGGTTCTTGCCTTCATTTCAGATCAGTTGTTGCTTATTTGTATCAGGCTCTGTCCTAGGCACTGGGTATGGGGGTGGGGAGAGGGCAGGAACCATTGAACAAAACAGACAAAAATCTCTCAAGTGGGGGAAATAGATGAAAAGCAAATGAGGACACTGTGGAGAAAAAATCCACCAGGGAAGGAGGATGGCAGTGCTGGGGTCGTGGCAAGGAGGGAGGTCTCTGAGCAGCTGACTTCTGACTGAGGATCTGAAGGAGTTGAAGACATGAGCTGTTTGAATAGCTAGGGGAAGAACCGTCCAAAGAGAGAGTCTAGCAAGTGCACAGGCCCTGGAGGTGGGAATAGCGGGGGGACTGCTGTGGCTGCAGCACAGTGGGGTGGGGCAGGGGTGGTAGAGGTAGGATACAAGGTCCCAGAGGTAGGTCATGGCAGCTTGGTCACTGAAGAGTCCTTCTACAGGCCCAGTGCTAGCTGGGCACTAGGGAATACTGAGTCAGGCTCCGTTCCAGCTCTGGGGGTGTCCTTAGACCAGCAGGGAAACAAGGTGATTTCCTAAGGGGCAGAGAAATCGTAGTGCTGAACAGTTTGTAGTCAGGTGTCGGGTGATGGGTGGCACTGCTCCAGGTGTTCAGGGACTTTGAGCTGAAGGAGTTGGGAAGGCTTCTTTAGCAGGCAGTGCCTGAGCTGACCCTGTAGGATGAGGGCAGAACGGGAAGGAGTAGATGGGGCAAGGGCTCAAGCCCTGGTGTGTGGAAACAGGAAGAGAAGAGTCTCTGAGTGACATTTTGGAGAGGGGCTCCACGGAGCCTCAGGAGCCAAGGCTGGATGTGTGGGGTGGGCCTGGCCACATGTGGACAGCCTTGAGTGCCAGGCAGAGCCGTTGAGTCTTGCTGGGATAGGGAGCACCAGCCTGCTTGGTGGGATGGGCTGCTCTTGGCTTTTGGTCCTTGCGTCCCTCTCATGTCCTGGCTTTGGACTGTGTGGCCAGCACTTGCTTTTCTTTCTTCCTGCCCAACATTTTGTTTGCAACAGTACCTCCCCCATCTGGCACAGCCTCCCTGTGTTAAGGCAGAGGGTTGGTGTATAGAGGCAGGAAGTTGAGGGCTGAAGTAAGGCCTCCCTAGTTTCGAATCCCTAGACTTCCACCAGCTGTGTAACTTGGGGAAGATTAATTAACTTCTCTCAGCCTGTTCCTTTCCTTTTTTTTTTTTTTTAAAGATTGATTTTATTTATTTGTAAGGCAAAGTTACAGAGAGAGATAGAGATGGAGAGAGAGAAATGTTCCTTCCACTGGTTTACTTCCCAGATGGACACAAGAGCCAGGGCTGGGCCAGACTGAAGCCAGGAGCCAAGAGCCCTTTCTAGGTTTCCCACTTGGATGCAGAGCCCAAGGACTTGGGCCATCTTCTGCTGCTTTTCCAGGTGCATGAACAGGGAGCTGGGTCAGAAGTGGAGCAGCCGGGACTCAAACCTGTGCTTTCACAGGATGCTGGGTTTGCAGGCGGTGGCTTTACTTGCTACGCCACAATGCCAGCCTGTGTTTTTTTTTTCTAATATGGGGGCTAGCAATACCAAAGCAAGGCTGTCAGGATTGGAAATAGCCTGTATAAAGCCCTTGGCATGTAGCAGTAGATGGTAGCAATTCTTGCAATCCTCTCAGTTGTATCTGGCTCAGCCAAACAGCACGGAAAACACTGCATTAAAAATGAAAGATCACCGGCACCACGGCTCACTAGGCTAATCCTCCGCCTTGCGGCGCCGGCACTCCAGGTTCTAGTCCCGGTCGGGGCGCCGGATTCTGTTCCGGTTGCCCCTCTTCCAGGCCAGCTCTCTGCTGTGGCCAGGGAGTGCAGTGGAGGATGGCCCAGGTGCTTGGGCCCTGCACCCCATGGGAGACCCGGAAAAGCACCTGGCTCCTGGCTTCGGATCAGCGTGATGCACCAGCTGCAGCGCGCTGGCCACGGCGGCCATTGGAGGGTGAACCAACAGCAAAGGAAGGCCTTTCTCTCTGTCTCTCTCTCTCACTGTCCACTCTGTCTGTCAAAAAACAAACAAACAAACAAACAAAAAAAACATGCTGTTGGGAAATAAGTTTGGACATGAGGCCCACCCAGCCTGAGGGATCCAGCTGCTAGGGGTATTGGGGGTGCTGTTAAGTCTGTTCCCCCCACCCCCATTCCCATTCCTGCTTCCTAGCACCTAGGAATATTTTTGCACAACTTTAGTTAAATCTAAAAAAAAAAAAAAAAAAAGCAGGTGTTAGTCTTTTACAGGTGAGGCACCTGAGGCACAGCTCATTGGCTTGATTTAAATTGGAGCCATAATGTTAGAGTCAGGTCAAAGTATGGATATCTTGGCTCAGACACCTGCTCTTGACAATTTTCTGGCAAACATGTCTGATCTACAGCCCTCAAGTGTCTGGCCCATCCATCTCTGCACCCCTCTTGGCTCAGTTGTCAGAGTTGCGGGACTTGAGTGTGCTTAGAAATTGGGCAGATAGTAGAATGGCCATCTTCACAGCAAGATCAGGCCTGGGATGACCAGTCTTCATTTGCCTTTGAAGGGGCTTGCTGTAAACAGGCCTCTTACTCATGCCAAAGAGCATTCTACACAAGGAAGAAGGTCCTGTCTTCACAGGAGAGGCCACGGCTTAAGAAGAAAAAGGTTCCTGTACTTCAGAGCCCATCTGGAGCCTATGGTCCTGGCTGGGTTCTCAGGAAGCTCTGGGCTGTTGGTAGCTGTGCTGAGAAGTCTCTCCATCCTCACCCCATCAGCCCTGCCAGATACCTCAGGGTGTGGTTGACACATAGCCTTTATCCTGCCCCAACCTCTCCTTACACCATCTCCAAAAGTTAAGCTAGTTGCCAGCTGAGCGATGGGTAGGGTGTGAATGTTTATCTGAAGACGCAAGGTGGGTGGGCCCCTGGAGCAGCAGAGAGGACTCCCTGATGATTGAGGTTTGAAATTAGAAGCAGATCCAGGGACTCGTGAGCCAGCCGGTATTTCCCTTTGTAGCCAAATGACAGAAGCTGGAGTCAGCTGGGTGCTGTGTGTAAAACAAGAGCAGAAGGCTGGGAAGGTAAATGCCGTGTCTGCTCACTGCCCCAGCCAACAGTATTTCCCCCTAACCTTTGTCTCAGATCCCGTCCACTGCCCAAGGCCCGTTTGCCCCAGAGGAAGGAACAGCTGTCCTCTCCAGCCCTCCCCAGAGCCCTCCTGAGGAAGCTGCCTCCCCTGTGTTGGGAGAAGGGGGTCCCTGCGCTCAGGCTCACTCTGTGTGTCCTTGGCAGGCATGACCAACGGCTTCAGCAAACACACTGAAAGCGGGTCTGACTCGGAATGTAGTTTGGGTCTCAGTGGTGGACTGGCATTTGAAGCTTGCAGGTAAGAACGCTTGTCCCCAAAGCTTTTTCAGCATTTCTGCTGACTCTCCCTTTATTCTTCCTTCAGCTACAGGTTGAACCTCCCCCTCCTCATCTTGGTTTCTACCCCTGCTATTTCCTGAGGCTTCTGGTCTGTAACTCCATGAGCTCCGAGGAAACAGGGTGACCCTTGACTCTCGGGTCTGATCTGAGAGGAGGGCTGATGCGTTTCAGGTTCATGGACTGCATTTGGGGTCTAGAGGGTAGGGACAGCAGAATCTCCTTTTGCCCAGTAACACTGCAGTCAACCCATATGCACATTCACGCACGCACTACACTAACTTACTACAGACATAGTTTTGTCCCAGGTCTTCTGAGGCCTGATAGCAAGGGCCTCTAGAGGTGAGGTTTGAGTCCTTGCTGTGTGTCCTGTGCTCTGCAAAACACCAGGGAGGAAGGGACTCTTAGAAACGAGAGACCTCCAGTGTGACAAAGGAAGAATGGCTTGTCCTGAAGGCTGACATGGCCCCATGTGACTGCTAAAGGATCTTGGGTTCTGAGTAGAGGAGGAAATGGACCCAGGGCAGCACAAAAAGACGACATGTTGATGTTTGAAGCACTTCCAGGACAGGCTGAGTGTGTGTGCTGGTGGGTACTCACTCCACCTGGCTGCTGGGTCACTGGTGGGGTCAAAGAGGACTCCTAGCCAACTTCCTACCCTGGACTGGTTCCCTGTTGGGGTTCCCTGGAGATTTCCCTTCCCACAAAGCCCCAGAATTACCCTGACTTTATCTCTCCCTGTTGGCAGCTTCCAGAGATACAGGGGGAATAGATAGGAAGAAACAGTTGCCAGACATAGGCATAGGGGAAAGAGACTGCAGAATCTTACGAGATACTTTGTCTGCTCCCAGGTTGGAATTCCTGACTGCCTTCATAGACAAGGCGCATGGAAGCCAAATTTAGTTGGGTTAAGGCAGAAGTGGGGCCATCACACTGTCCCATCCCAGCCCTTGCCTGAAAGTGGAAGGGGTGTTGCTCTGTCCGCGGGAAGGGTGCTTTCCCCAGCTGAGAGTCACAGAAGCCAGCCAGCCACTCTGACTGAGAAGGTGATGCCTTTCTGCAGAACTCCAGTCCAGTGCCACCGATTTCTCTGGGACCCCTGCCTGATGCAGGAACAACGCCATTGGAGGGCATTTGCTCTTGAATTCAGTGGTTCTCAGTGGAACTTCAGGGTTTCAGAAAGGAGAGTCAAAAGCTCCAACTGCAGGATTTTTCCCCCATACTATGGATGGAAGTAATTATATAAAGGCAAATCTTATTTATTAGGCTGGAATCATAATCCCCGAATTAGAAATAACTTTGAAAGAACTGCTCACTAGCTCATCCCCAACACCCCCTCCCTACCTGCTTCTTGGTTTATTGATAATTTCCTGAGCAGGTTGAGGCTGCACCCTCTTTCAGTAGGTCACTCTTCCAACTACTGTTTATGAAACACCTTCGTTTTCCAGGCATTGTTGCAGTCTGTTCTCATGAAGCTTACATTCTAGAAGGAAGGATGGATGTTTAACAAGTAAACAAGATAATTATAGGTTGGGATGTCCACTTGGGCCTGGGTAACTTGGGAGAGAATGCTAAAATGCATCTATAATTGAAGCTTTTGTACTTTTTCAATATATCAGGAAGGCACAGACCTAGTTTTGGGGCTCTGTTCTATTTTAATGAGCTCATCATTTCACAGTATGATATTAATAGTTCGTAATACTTTAAGACATTAAAACCTTCTGTCCATCATATGATAACCACAATTGCCATTTATTGAACACATGGTGTATGTGCTGTACTGAGCACTTTGTATTCATTAAATCATTCCAGTGACACACAGGGGACCCAAGCCTCAGGCGTTAAAGTAAACTTGCTCAAGTTTGCAGAACCAATTAGAGGAGCTGGGTTTGGAACCCAGGCAGTCTGACTCTAAAGGGCGCTTTGCTAGGCCCTGTTGTGTTCTATTCGAGGATGTTCATGAGGTGAACAGTTCGACAAGCTGCCCTAATAAGATTACCAGCACCTTACCTTTGTCTAAGGCCTCAGAGCCTCATACAGATATTTATAGGGTAAGAACTGAATCCTGAATATGTACTGGGTATATTTTATGTTTTCCTGAACAAGTTCTAATTTTGACTCACAGTAAAAAAAGCTTCCAGCCTGGCTGCTAGTTACTGAAGGATTATGATTCGTTGACTTTTGGTTAAGCAAAGTTTTCTTGGTATGAGGTAATGATAAAATCAGTTCTAAAAAACACAAGGGGCCTACTCTATCAGTCCTACCCCTGGCTGCCGCTTCTCCCACCAGTGGCTTCTTAAATATTTCTACTTTCTACAGATTATCAACCTGTCTTTTAAGCAGTATTTTAGTTGAAAAAATTATATATTAGTAATATTTTTAAAAGTTTGAGTGGAGAAAAGCCCTGGCCATATCTTACCAGGGGCTGTCCAAAGTGTGCTGTATATCAGAATTCCATTGGGAGCTGTTTAAAAACAACAACAAATCTGGGTGAGCCTCACTTGTACCATTGTCCTGGTATTGCCATTCTCATTTTTGCTTATTAGCTTCTAGTCTTTGTCTAATATATGTTTTACCTCTTTGAAGTAACCATGTTAAAAAAAATAAATTGGTCTACTTTTTAGTTAAAAAAAAAAATCCATCTGTCTCTGTCCAAGAAAATTTTCACACATAAACTATTTGGAAGTGAGAAGTGGATTTTTTTTCCCAATTTAAAAATGTCTTTCCTAATTTGGGAGCTAAGACATGTCCATTATAGAAAATTTAGGAAAGAGATGAATTTTTATACTTCAAAAATAAATTGGTTTCTAAAGACAAAGCCACATGAACCACAGAGTAAAGAATTCTGGGCAGATGTGAGGTGGGCCCTGCTTATGGTCAGGCTACTGAGCATCTGGGAAGATTGACAAGGGGCTGGGGTGACCTTGCCTCTTTGTGAAATGCAAGGTTCCTATGCAGGGAAGCAGGAGTCTGCTTCCGGGTTCAGTCCCTCCACATGGGTGAAATGGTGCCTCAAAGCCTCATGGGAGCTTTTTGTTCAGCAGTGGGTCGTGGGTTAGTGTGAGTTTTTAGGGGGAAGGTAAGCAACCATCTTCCCTGAGGGTTTTTGCAGCTCCACTCCTGTCAGAGGTGGGAGAGCAAGAGTGGTCGTGTCAGTCATTGAAATTGCTCACTTCACCCCTCTCTCCCTGCTCTGTATGTAGTGGTCTGATGCCCCCCAAACGCAGCCGTGGGAAGCCAGCCCTGTCTCGAGTGCCCTTCCTGGAAGGTGTGAACGGAGACTCTGACTACAATGGCTCAGGTGAGGAGCAGTGTTCAGGCGGAGCTGGGGGCGCTGGGCCTCCCAAGGAGCCAGCCCTGCAAGCTGCTGCACTGCTGGGGCTCAGCACGGACAGCGGTCCCTGAGCTACCCAAAGCCTCGGACACTGGGCAAGCAGGTGGCCCTTACTCTTGGGTCATTCGTATTCTTGGTTTTGTTTTTTAAGTTTATTCTAAATTTGAATATATAAGGCATGCCCATGGTTATAGAAGCCAAAAAGGTACAAAAGAGTGGATAATGAAAGCCAGCACTCCCCTCCCTGGAGCATCCTCTGCAGGCAGTTTCTTTTGTGTCTTTCCGGAAGTCCTCATATATATACTAGCCAAAGTATGCACACAAGTAGAAAAGCCTAACACACTTTATTTATATTTTTTATTTTCTTTGACAGGCAGAGTAGTGGACAGTGAGAGAGGGAGACAGAGAGAAAGGTCTTCCTTTGCCGTTGGTTCACCCTCCAATGGCCGCCGCGGCCGGCGCACCGCGCTGATCCGATGGCAGGAGCCAGGAGCCAGGTGCTTCTCCTGGTCTCCCATGGGGTGCAGGGCCCAAGCACCTGGGCCATCCTCCACTGCACTCCCTGGCCACAGCAGAGGGCTGGCCTGGAAGAGGGGCAACCGGGACAGAATCCGGCGCCCCAACCAGGACTAGAACCCGGTGTGCCGGCGCCGCAAGGCGGAGGATTAGCCTAGTGAGCCGCGGCACCGGTCACTCATGTCCTTTTAAACCATCCTTTTTTTCCAGTTAATAATACATGCAGTCCTGACTTACTAGTTCAGCTTACTGTTTTCCTGCTTTATGATGGTTTATCAAGATACAACTCCATTGTAAGTTGAGGAGCATTTGTTCTTATGTACCTTAGAAGGCGATCCTTCTGTGCTTTCTATTGGCTGTCTAGTGGCCCATTACACAGGAGTTCCATCATTTGCTCAGCCAGCCCCTCTAAATGTGGACATTTGGATTGCTTGCCCTTATTTATCATAACTAGTATTACAGTGAGCTACCTTGTGCATGGATCATTCTGTGTCCCTGGGGAGTATCTACAAACGTGAAATTGCAATTTTGTTATTTTGATAGATACTGCCTGTCTGTGCGCGCTGGTATCATCAGTGATAACCACTGCATACATAGCCCTGTGGTTTCATGGATCTTATCTCCCTGGACTAAGGGGATAAAGGGCATGGTCAGGAGGCGAGGCCAGGCTGGTGCTCAGGTCGAGCAGGTACAGAGGGTGCAACCTCTGAGCTCCCCTTTGGCCATGCCTGCCATGGTAGCAGGAGCACTCTCTGGATGCCCTGTGTTTGAAGTTTCCGCCTAACACACTGGCAGCAGGGATTGTCTCCCCTCTTACCTTTCCCCAGCTCCTTTATTTGCCCTTGGCAACAGTTTCTTGTATGTGTGTTGATGAGTGCATGCCTTTATGTTCCATCACCTTCTGTGACCATCGGTGCCCAGAAATCACGTCAGATGAATTTGCACAGCATCTAGCACAAAGCCAGGAGAGAAGCTGTCCACTTAGTGCTTCTGGTGACATTCATTCTTACTTTAAAAATGATATACTTAAAATAATGCCAAAGGAAATTCACAAAGAAAATTGACCTCCCATAGTTCCATCACCTTACCACTGTCTTCATTTCTCTGTGTTGCCTTTTGTTTATTTTAGGCACATTTTTAACCATGCTAATCCAAAGCACAGACACTTTTGTATTCTTTTTTTAGTGTTGTCCCATACTTTTCTCATGTTGACATACTTATATATCTCATATTATTGGAACAAAGTCTCCAACAATCAATGCATTATAATTTACTGAACTATTGTTAGATATTTGAGTTGCTTCCAACATTGAGCTTTATACATAATACAGTGAACCAATAGTTTTGTTCAAAGTCCTTTTATTCACTTTTAAAGTATTTTTCTTAGAATAAATTCACAGGGAAGGAATATACTGCAGCACATGGTTCATACATTTTTTTAACGGCTCTTGAGCTGCACCACCAGATTGCATTCTGAAATGATTGTCCTGGCTTGCAGTTCTGTCAGCAGTGTGTGATTGCGCCAGCTTCTACTCAGCCTGCCCCTTCAGTATTGGATTTGTTATCTTTTTATTATTATTGCTATTGATTGAATAGGGTCAAAACGGTACCTCATTATTATTTTAGTACATTTAAAAAAATCATAAATAACAGTTGTAACGTTTCCTTAGAAATACAGTTTCCAGTCGGTGAGATCTGGGTCCGTTTTCCTTGGTTGAGTGTGATCCCCTCTTCATTCCCAGTTTACAGACACAGGGAGGGAAAGGGAGGTTCTCTTGTGAGTCCAGAACATTGGTGAGCACTCACTGCTGCGTGCTTACGCATTGGGTGTAGAACAAAGCGAGGAGATGCAGCGCCTGCCCTCCGGGCCACATTGAATGTACACTGGGCTCTGACAGAAGCAGGCGTGTGGAGGGCCTGTGGACTCACCAGACTGCTGAGGGCTATACTTCCAGGCGGCATGGATAGCCAAGTGCAGCCTTATCAGGAAAGAATTCACGTAGCAGGTGATTTTACTGGGGGTCCTTCCAGGCATGTTTTTCCATGAGGCTTCTGTCTTGAGGACCAACCCCCTACCCCGGGGTGGGGGTTGGGGTAGGGTGGGGTGGGGCCAGAGAGCCATATTCGGCTTTGCTCAAGCTGGGGCATGGCTTCTCCCTGAGGCCCCCGGGTGAAGCAGTTGACATGTTTCCAGGGAAAGCCATCCCAGTGTTCTAGTCCAGATAATGGTAAACTATGGCCTGCTGCTGTTTTTGTATGGACCATGAGCTGAGAAAGATTCTTTACATTTTTTTAATGAAAGAATGATTTTCATGATATGTGAAAATGACATGAAATTCAAATTTCAATGTCCCAAAATAAAGTCTTCTTGAGACATAGCCATGCTAATTCAACAGCAGAATCGAGTAGTTAGAACAGAGACCATGTGGCCTGCAAAACCTAAAATACTTTTTGGCCCTTTACAGAACTAGTTTGCCGATGCCTGATCCAGACTAATAACGTCTAAGGAAAGGGCAGGGCAAAGGAAGGGTGGAGGGTATATTGCTGACTCGTTCCTGGACTGCCCCAGTCAGATGGAAGCCACAGGCAGGCCTCCTGGGCACCATTACAAGTCCCCTTCGAGCTGTCTCCTCCCCTCCCCCACCCCCAGGCAGAAGCCTCCTGATGCCCTTTGAAGACCGCGGAGACCTGGAACCCCTGGAGCTGGTGTGGGCCAAGTGCCGAGGCTATCCTTCCTACCCTGCCTTGGTGAGTCTGCCCCAGACGCCATCCTCCTACCTCCTCTGGGCGGTTCTGGCCCCTGCCTTGCTTTGGGGGCTTATCTGATTGATGTAGCCAGCACAGTGTAGTGAGAGTCAGGGTGCCCTTAGCTGCAGAAGGGAGGGGGGCTTACCCCAGCCTGGGTGGGGCAAACCGGCTCCTAGTTTAGGGCAATTAAAATAGACTAAAAGCATGCAAAGATTAGGGTTCTTAGGACTTAAATTTTTTTTTTTTCATTTTATTTCATTGAATTTGAAAGGCAGAGCTGCAGAGAAAGAGACATTAGAGATCCTCCATCTGCTGGTTCACTCCCCAAATGGCCACAACAGCCAGGTCTGAGCCAAGCCAAAGCCAAGGAGCCAGGAACTCTATCTGGGTCTCCCATGTGAATGTCAGGGGCCCAAACTCTTGGGCCATCTTCCACTGCCTTCCTAGGCGCATTAGCAAGAAGCTAGATCTGCAGCAGAGTAGCCGGGACTCCAGCTGGCACTCTGATATGGAATGATATCAGTGGCTTAACCTACTACACCACAACATGGGCCCCAGTTCTTAGGATTTTGATGGCACTTATTTGCTTATGCATTTAAATTAACATGTGCTTACTGTAGACAATTTTAAAGGCTATTGACAATGCTTAGATGTTTTATTAAACATACTGAGCCTTTGAAATAATGAGGGAAGTATGATTGTTCCTATTTTGCAGGGAAGAAAACAAAACCTGTTAGCCATAGTCATCTAGCTGATAAGTGGCAAGCTTGGAATTTGAGTCCAGGGCTCAAAATTCATGATGTCAAAACCTGTGTTCCAAGCCACTGATTAAAAATCATCCACAGTCCCATCTACTCAGGGATAACTTGGTATATGGCCACCCAGCCTTTTTCAAATGCATAAATATGCATATATATGAGACCACACTCTGTTTTTAACCTCCCTTTCACCTAACAGCAAACCATGAACACGCATGTCTTATGCCATTATCTGTTCCCCCTTTAAACAGTCTTCATCAGCATTAATGACTGCATCATCTTTGGTTGTGTATACCACATTTTAACCATTGCCTAGTTGGTCATAGAGATTGCTTTGAATTTTTCGCTATGATAAACAACTGGCAGTAATCATCCTTGTAGCTTGCCTTGTGCACATCCATGAGTATTTCTTTGTAGGGAATTCTGAAGTGTACCTTCTTGGCGAAGTCTATGCAAGATCCTGAAGAAGTTACCAAATTACCTGAAAGTTAGTTTGTACTCCTACCAGCAGTAGCTAAATTTCTATTTCTTCCAAAATAGCAGGAGCTAAAAATTCCATTTCTACCACCTTGGTTTTTCTTAGCGTTCTTTCTCAGTCGGGGAGGCAGTGTCCAGCTGGCTATGGAAGACGCCACTGATTCTGAACCTTTGGAGCATGTCCGAATCATCTGGGGGAAGTTTTTAAACAATATGGGTACTGAGTCAGCTCCGCCCCACAGCTACCAAATTAGACTCTGAGGCATGAATATTTTTAAGAGCTTCCTGGATGATCTGTAGCCAGGGTTGGGAACCACCCCTACCAGCCTTTTAAGTGCATGGGGCTTCTGGCTCTTTCACATGTTTGACTCTTTGGAGCCTTGAGATAAGGAGGGCAGGAGCTCTGATCCTGTTAGGACAGATAAGACAATTATAGCTCAAAAGAGGTTCTGCAGTTTGCTGGAGCCCTGTTGGAAGTCAGGTTGTCTACTCATGTCCTCCCTCGCAGAGGCAGGTATGGGAAATCCACACTGTGATCAAGCAGCCTGGCGCTGCCTGCTTCACAAGCAGTGGCCAGGCGGGACCCTCAGGTTGGTCATTAAGGAATTGATTGAGGCTGTGCAGGTCTGAGGTTCTCTTTCAAACCTCACAATGCAAAACGAGTAGTCTAAAACTAGTGTTTTTACTCACCTCCTTAAGCATTCTAATGACATTCAACCACCACCTCAACACAACCTGTGTTTTTATTTTGGTGTATGTTCTCCTAGTCTTTTTCCTGTGTGTACTTCAATGTGTATTTGCCTCCATAGTGAATATACGGTTTTAATATTTTTCTTTTTTTGGCTCTTGTCTTTTTAGCAGATGTTTTTGTTTGGTTTTTGGGGTGTGTGTGTGTGTGTGTGTGTGTGAAAGTAATGCACCACATTTATAGGAGTTTTAGAAAAATAGAGGGTAAAAAGGCAACACAAATCTCAAATTCTAAAACATCAACTTTGAGTATTTTCTATCATTCCTTCTATTAAAGTTCATTTAGTAAAGTTGTGAATAATAGTGTATATATGTGTTTAATATATAATAAGTTAACTTATCACAAGCTTTATTTTCATATTGTTTTACCTCTCCATAGCTTTCATCGAGTGAATGAGCCATTGTTTATTATTTTGAGATGTGAAAACTATTCCTAGGTGGCAGACTTACCTACTTTGCTTTTGCCTTAAAGGGAAATTTTTTCACAATCCACCCTGTGCAGATACTCTGAGTCCCACAGCAGGGACCAGCAAGACAAAACACTTCAGCTTAGCCGCACTGTCTTGTTTGGTAATCAGGGAAGCCTCAGAGGGTGCGTGTTGTTCTCAGTAGTACCCTTAGCTTCAGTTGTGGGAGGGACAGACTGGGATAGAGATTCCTGACCAAACTGCACCACTGGCAGGTGGTGTGGGGAGGTTCTTCCGTCAGCTCTTATCCAGAGCACCTGCTCAGCTGCTTCTCTTGAGAGGGATGTGGGGAAGCTGGCAGATACCCAAAGGGAAGTAATCAGAGCAGTGTACTATGAGAAGAGGCCCTTGGGACAGGGTAGAGGAATGAAGATTGCCTCTAAAGAGAGTTTCGGAGGCTCTGTGGCTTTGGCCCACAGAGATGATCAGCCAGCTGCTCTGGAAGCAGCGTCTGTGTTGAGGCAGCGGGCAGCCGAGGCCCCCGCGTTGGCCAGGTGTCTGGTTTTAGTCTCAGCCATGGTTTGAACCAGCTCCTCCTTCTGTGCTTGTCAGCTAACACCTGTTAGCAGACTCCCCAGCATAAGCAAGAGATTGGAATGAGGTGATGTGTGAATAAATAGGAGCTTTGGAAACCTTGAAAGTGCTCCATAGACCCGGAGAGTTCTTGTTGTGTTGATGTTCCCAGGCATTTTGCTGTACACCTGTTCTGAGCTAGACAGAGAGGGACTGGAGGCCGGAAATAGGCCTGAACAGGGTGGGCTCAGGCCCTACCCTTGTGGCACTTGTTGCCTCAAAAATGTATCCCTCCACTGGCCCTTGTTTGCAACCATATGGTTCTCACCTCTGTACCGCCCTCCTGCATGCAGTCTTCTAGCTGAACATCGACTGCCTCTTTGATCTTATCATGAAGGATTCATGCTGTATCTGGACCTGGCTGGCTTGTTAGAGATGTTGGGAACTGGGGCTGTGCTTCTGTACCCCTGTGCCAGATGGTCATTGAGTGCATCTGTCCCTAGGGGGGAGCCAGAAAGGAGTGTAGTCAGGTAGAAAGATGGTGGGGAACCAGGCCCCTGTTAGATATAACCAGGACAGCCTTCCTGCTGACACACAGGTTTCTTCAGAGCTGTTGTGCCTGGGGAATGCCCTGGCCATGGTTCTAAAGGGAAATTGGTGGCCAAAAAATGACCTCTCTTCTTCCCTGGACACTGGGAGGAATGGCATGGCCATTACAGATACCCACGCAGTCCTGGCACCCCCACGTGGGCTTCTCACTAGCTTGTTTCTGCTCTGAGGCCTGATGGTTTGTGGTGCGGGTTCCTTCATCGGAAGGACCGGTTGGGCAGAGGTGGAGGATTAGGACAGTGAAGTGGAGGATTAGGACAGTCAAGATTTCCATTTTAGGGCACTGAGGGTCACAGAAAAGGCAGCCCCTCCATCACGTGGTTATGGGCAGGGCTGAGCCCGTGCATGGCTTAGTGTGGGGTGCCTCAGCAGTGGGTCCTGCAGTGGGGGGCCGTTCACTCTGTCCTCCCCCACTGAGTGCCCTTCTCCCTTTCTGCCTGCAGATCATCGACCCCAAGATGCCCCGAGAGGGCCTCCTGCACAATGGTGTCCCCATCCCTGTGCCCCCGCTGGACGTGCTGAAGCTGGGAGAGCAGAAGCAGGCAGAGGCTGGAGAGAAGCTCTTCCTTGTCCTCTTCTTTGACAACAAGCGAACCTGGTGAGTGGGTGTTGCTACCCAGGCAGCTGGGGCAGGGACATGCCAGGGTTGTTACTAATATTACTAATTAGTAACTAATACTAATACTAATACTAATACTGATAACTGAGCAGGTTTCTAAGATCAAGCTCCCTGGGAACGGCTGATTTTAGGGATTTGTATCAGGGAGCTTATCGGGGAGAGCTTAGGGCTGAGGGATGCAGCATTGGTCGGGGGGGAGAAGTTGACCTGCAGTGCCCTCGAGACAGGTCCCAGTCCAGTCCTCTAAGGAATCCTGGAGCTGGCAGCTTCGTGGAGGTACTGGGAATTGGGGCTGTGCCTCTGTACCCCCTGCCAACTCTCACGAGTGCAGCTCTCCCTGAGGATGGCGTGCCTCTTGGCCAGGCAGCTCCCTTAGTGGCTGTTTCCTGGACAGGCCCGAGAGTCTGTTGGCTGCCACACTCCCAGCAGCTGCGAGGACACAGGTCCCAGTCGGGGGAGGGGGGGAGGTTCTGGGCTGTGCAGTGTCCACTGAAAGGGACTTGCCCACTCATGGTTTACAGGTGTCTCAAGGTTTCTCTTAGCATCAGCTGGAGAGTGCTTTTACTTCTTTTTTTTTTTTAAACATTCTTTTTTATTTAGTTTTTTTTTTTTTTTTTTTTTTTTTTAAGGATTGATTTATTTATGTGAAAGAGTTACAGAGAGGCAGAGAGAGAGGCGGGGTAGGGGGTAGAAAGAGAGGTCTTCATCCACTGGTTCACTCCCTAATTGGCTGCAATGGCCGGAGCTGCACCAATCCGAAGCCAGGAGCTTCCCCTGTGTCTCCCACGTGGGTGCAGGGGCCCAAGGACTTGGGCCATCTTCTACTGCTTTCCCAGGCCATAGCAGAGAGCTGGATCGGAAGTGGAGCAGCTGGGTTCGAACCGGCGCCCATATGGGATGCCAGCACTACAGGCAGTGGCTTTACCCGCTATGCCACAGTGCTGACCCTGAGTGCTTTTACTTCTGGTTCTGTAGAATGAAGAGGTAGAACTAGCTAGTAAGATAATGATAAGAATAGCTGCCATTTATTGAGTGCTTTCTTCTTGTCCTTATTAAATCTCTTTATCCTCATTAATCCTCCACAATCTATTTTGCAAATTAGGAAGCTGAGGCTCAAAAAGCAAAGGCCCTGTAGCCAGAACTGGGATACAAACCAAGATCTAGCTCTGAAGACAGTGTTCTTAGGCACATAATAGAGTCCTGCCAGGAACTTTAAAGGCACACGAGGTCAGGCCCCATCAGAGATGAGTTTAGTTCCTGATATCAGCTCCACGTCTCCAGCCATAGTTCCCTAATTCCTCAAGGCAAGGCAAGCTTCTGCCCTCCAGGGTGGCTATGCCAGTCCCAGTGGCTGGAAATGGGCCCCTGCAGACCCCTGAGCCCTGACCACCCTCAGAGCAGAGTAAAAGCCCAGAGAAGGGCCTGGCTGCCAAAGAGGCCCCGTGCCATCCTCCCAACCCCGCTAGCCGTCAGGTTCTTGGTGGCTTCCTGAGTGTGTGGGGGGTCCCAGTCTACTTCCTGGCCTGGCTAGTCTTGCATAAGTAGGCTTAGAAGAGTGCCGTGGGACCCACCACCGCCCAACCTCTTACCGTGCTTGCATTTCAGGCAGTGGCTTCCAAGGGACAAAGTCCTACCTCTGGGTGTGGAAGACACTGTGGACAAGCTCAAGATGCTGGAAGGCCGCAAGACCAGCATCCGCAAGTCAGTGCAGGTGGCCTACGACCGCGCCATGATCCATCTGAGCCGCGTCCGGGGGCCCCACTCCTTCGTCACCTCCAGCTACCTGTGAGGGCAGAGCTGGGCCTGCGTCTGCCTGCCCTGCCTCCATCCAAGGGGCACAGGGAAGACTGTTCTGCCCCAGCCAAGTGTATGGCCAGCAGCTTCCCCCTCTCGTGGCAGGCCAGGGACTGGGCTGTGTCCCCACCAAGGGCAAGGCCTCAGTTTCGACCAATACATGGTTCCCCTGGCAGGCCTGCTGTGTGCCAAAAACTCCTACCCAAGGTCCCTCGGGGATATTCCACTGAAGAACCAGTTAGAAGTAGAAATGTGAGGGGCTGGGGCCCAGCCAAGGAAATGGACCTGGCCCAGAAGACGAGCGGTCCTGGGTTCCTTGAGGGGCTGCTTGGCCCTCTTCATCCCCTCCCAACTAACTGCACCTCAGGGCGGGCGAGGTTCTGACACTGATCCCAGAGATGCTGTGGACGCGCCAGGGTCCCACGGGGAATCCCACTGAGCTCCCCTCTCCCCTCGTCACCCATTCTTACACCTCTTCCCGTCCCAGCCTCTGCACCCAGGCACGGTGTCTTTTCCCACGTTCCTTTCCTTACTTTCACTCTTGTGCCAAACTGACAGGAACTGTCACCAAACTGGTCTTTTTCCTTTGATGTCTCACTCCCTTTGAGGCCAGCTGCTCTGCCAGGTGCCTGTCTCTGCCGGGCTCCTCAGGGTCTAGGCAGAGTCCCACCCCGTGGCGCCTCCACCAGTGCGCCGCCTCTCAGACCTGTGCTGTGACGGCGCTGAGGCCCAGCTGTGCGCACACTCCGTGGGACGCACCCCTGGATTGGGGCAGGGCCCTTCCCGTCTTCTCCCGGTCTTGCCTCGAGGTGGGCTGAGGTGGGTGTACCTGTCAGGCTGGGTGTGCAAGTATCTGTGTGTCCACCTGGGTGCGGAAGGGCTTGGGTGGAGCCCGCCCATCAGCTCGGCCCACTCCTCCTCCTCGAGGGCTTTCCTTTCTCTGCGCTGCGGTCCCAGCCCCCTCCAGCACCGTGGTCTGCACAGCATCCTTCTGCCTGCGCTCTGCCCGCCCAGCTCTGCTGCTCCTGCTTCCCAACTCCGGGGACCGGGACCCTTCATATTTGAAGCGCTCTTTCTCTTCACCCCCCCACCCCCACCCACCTTCTCAGAAATGGAAGGATACAGAAACTGTGAACGGGGAATGCTGACTGACAAAGCAGCACACCTCTCAGAGGCTTCGACGTCTGGTCCCTGGGCGTTTCTTTTCACCTCTTAAGCACCAAAGTCGCAGGGCCAGGTTGCAGGCCGCTGATTGCCATGTTGATTTTTAACCTGATGTTCTTTTTAATTGTTTTAAATTTTTCATAGGGGAGTTTTGGACAAAATGAAGTCACTGGGGAGATCACTGCCATTTTTACACACTCAACTTTTTAAAAATACAACCAACCAACCACCACAACTTCTTATACATTTGGGACACGAGCCAGAGTTTAAAAGGGAACCAACAAAACTCTCTGTAACACAAAGGATGGGGTTTTGGATTTTGTACAATAATCAAAACGGAATTCAGCATATGGCTAGGGAAGGACATGGTGTATATAATTGTAGAATACTATTCTAAATTATTCAGGCCTATACTTTCCATTGTTGGAGTCCTCCATTGTGTGGCCACACTGTGTGGCTTATTTACAGGAGCCAGTGCGTCCCCTCTCCCCAGGTAGTTGGTCAGCTGTGGACTCTGTGACCTTTGTCTAACCTGTGTTGTAAGATCTCGGGACTTTCTCCCTCTTGCTCTCTCTCTGTCTATCTCTTTCTCCCCCCAGCGCCTCCTCTTCTTAGTCTATTTTTCAGTCTCTCTGACTCTCAGTCTCTCTCTCTGAGTCTCATTTTTGAAAATGCTCTTTCAGAACGGGCACGGCTCAGACCCTGCTGCGGGTGGGGCCTGCTGTCTCTGTCGCGTCTGCTGTGAAGCACAGGATGCTCTATTTATTGTAGAAAGTGACTTTATTTGCTTTCTAGAATTGTTTATAACAGATGGTATAAGAGAGGTAATAAACAGAGAAAAATCTATGCCTGTAAAGAATACAAGAGTTAATTTTACCTACTATAATAAGACTGTCTGAAACTTATTTTCTCTCGGAGAAATAAATGTTCTAATGGGCAGCAGTTGCTGTGCTGTGTTTGGTGTAATCAGCGGGGCCTGCTTCCTCTTCTGGATCCTCCCCGACAGGGAGCGTCCGGCTGTGGCAGGCTCCCAGCTGGCGATGGCTCTGGCTGGCTGGCCGGCTGGCCGCCTCCTGCACCCCTGAGAGAAATGTGAGGGTGGGCTCTGACTGTGGGAGGTCTGGCCTACCTTCCCACACCTCAGCTTGTGTGTGGGCGTGTTCAGGAGATCTGCTCTTCGTCCGCTGGAGAAGCGGCCCCCCGGACGACTCCGGCACCCGTCTGCCAGGCTTGCTGAGCCTGACTAGGGTGCACGTGCCTCCTTTGCATTGTTGCGCTCCCGTGCTGTGGACAGGAAGCTGGGACACAGGTTTAACATGAGTCTAGCAGTCCCCGTTAGAGCTGAAGGGATCATTGAACCTCCCTGGCCTTCGCTTACAGATAAGAACACGGACCAGCAAGCTCAGACTTGACCGAGGTTGGCCAGCTATGAAATGGTGGCCGAATTCTGGGCCAAGGCTTTCCTTTATTTGAAAGGCAGAGTTACAGAAAGAGAGAGGGAGATGGAGAGAGATCTTCTTCCATCTGCTAGTTCACTCCCCAGATTGTAGCAAAGGCCAGGGCTGGGCCAGACCCAAGGTAGGAGCCTGGACTCTATCCAAGTCTCCTACATGGTTGACAGGGACCCAAGCATTTGGGCCACCCTCTGCTGCTTTCCCAGGCACATTAGCAGGGAACTAGATTGGAAGTGGACTTGAACTGGGGCTCATGTGAGATGCTGGCATCCCAGGCGGCAGCTTTACCTGCTACGCCACAAAGCTGGCCCCTATTTTTTATTCTTTTTAACTTAAATTGGCTTATATGATTCTGAATTCCAAAACTCCTCCCTTTTTGTCTCCAGCCTCACCAGAGGCAACCAGTTTTAGCAACTGCATATCTAAGTTTCCAGATATCTTTGAATATAAGCTGGCACGTGTGTGTGTTTGTGTATATGTGCGTGTCTGTGTGTATGTGTCCCCTTTTCCTAAGATGAATGGCAGTATACTACTCACATTGTTTTAGGCCTCTTTGAAAAAAAATTATTAAATATCAAGTAGATACAAAAATAGTGCTTCCCTAGTACACAGAAATTTTAAACACACCCCGATACCATAAACCACCAGGTACTCACCACCTGCTGCAGGTACAGTCACGGGCCTTGGGAAATCTACCACGTGCCCCTCCCCAAGCCCACTCCCCTTCTAAATTTTATCCTCAGTGTGATGCCTCGCTCTTTACTCTCTCTTAAGAGCAATATGTTTAATACATCCACGAGATTTCAAATAAAAAATACACATCATTCTTGCTACATGTTTTCAATCTCTGGACAACCAGAAACATGGTACTCAAACTGCATGCTTTAAAAAGAGGAGCCTGAAATCCCATTTTTGACACAAAGATGGGTTAATGTTGAACCACTCCAACCTCAGAGGTCCTCAACCCCCCCCCCCGAAAATGCCTCCACACCCGCACACCAAACGCTGCCTCCACAGCTCTGCTGCTCTGCTCAGGACTGCCGTGGGGGCCGGTGCTGTGGCAGAGCACATAATGCCGCCACCCGCAGTGCCAGCATCCCATATGGACGCCGGTTCTTGTCCCGGCTGCTCCACTTCCTAACCAGCCCCTTCCTGGAAAGCAGCAGAAGATGGCCTAAGTTCATGGACCACTGCATCCATGTGGGAAACTCCAGATGGAGTTTCAGGCTCCTGGCTTTGGCTTGGCCCAGCCCCAGCTGTTATGGCCATTTGGGGAGTGAACCAACAGATAGAAGATTCTTTCTCTTTCTCTCTTTCAAATAAATAATTTTTTTAAAAAAAGACGATTAAAACAACCCAATATTTAGAGAAATGTCATTGAATGAGAACCACTACAATGTGCTGAAAATTAAGCCCAGCCTGCTTACTTACTGAATGATTTTTTGTAAAGATTTAGTTGGAAGAGTTACACAGAGAGAGAAGGAGAGGCAGAGAGCGAGCGAGAGCGAGGTCTTCCATCCACTGGTTCACTCCCCAGTTGTCCACAATGGCTGGAGCTGTGCTGTTTCTGAAGCCAGGGGCTTCTTCCGGTTCCCCTACGTGGGTGCAGGGCCAAAGCACTTAGGCCATCTTCTACTGCTTTCCCAGGCCACAGCAGAGAGCTAGATCAGAAGTAGAGCAGCCAGGACCTAAACTGGTACCCATTTGGGATGCCGGCACTGCAAGCGGCAGCTTTACCTATGCCACAGCGCCGGCCCCACTGAATGTTGATAGAGGAGAGGCTGCCTCAGTTTCACCCACATCACTCTGATTTTAGACAGATACCAAGAAGCGCCCCAAACATTAGTCACAGACGGCAGACTCTACCCGTGCTCTGGAGACAAAACCACAGACAAGCACCAGCTGAGAAAGTTAAATGAAAACAGGGCTTAAACCGTACATACAGTATGATTTCAACCTGTGAAAAACAACCAGAATATGTCCTAAAAAAGACTGAAAGGAGATAGCTCAAAATATTAATAGTGACTATATTTAAGTAGTGGATCTACAGTGATCTTTCTGGTCTTTTCTAGGTTTTTCTCTGAGGGCATTTTAAAACTGTTAATTACTGGGCCAGCGCGCTGCAGTGTGATGGGCTAAGTCACTGCCTGCAACACTGGCATCCCATGTGGGCACCAGTTCAGTGGCTGCTCCACTTCCAATCCAGCTCCCTGCTAATGTGCCTGAGAAAGCAGTGGAAGATGGCCCCAGTGCTTGAGTCCCTGCACTCATGTGGACACCAGGAAGAAGCTCCTGGCTCCTGGCTCCTGGCTTTGACCTGGGCCAGCCTGAGCCAGCCTGACCCAGCCATTGGGGACATCTGGGGAGTGAACCAGCAGATGGAAGAACACACCTACCCCCACCACACCCCTGTAACTCTGCCTTTCAAATAAATATATTTTTAAAAACCTGTTAGTTACAAAAACATGAATCTGAGAGCAGTTCTGAATTTGAAGTAATGAACTGCAGCCGAGCCTATGAGAAAGGATTATGTGCATTTATAAAATCAAGGGCGCATTCCCGCTGTTAGGGGGGGCCGGGCCCTCCTGCAGCCAGGGGGCTGGGCAACAGATTGTGCCCGCGAAAAACGCCACGAGCTCCACGAAGGGACAGGAAGAGAATTAAGCATAAGGTCGGCTCTTTCCTCCTATTTTCTGAGCGTAAGTCAAATGAGGAGGAAGCAAAATGCAGCTGGGTCCTCCTGTTCTCCGACACGCTTCTCGGAACGGCAGGCATTGCCCTTCGTGGTGCGTTGCTCGTCCCTGAACCTCCCCCACGCCCAGCGAGGCCAGGGAATGCGCGTGTGCGGGCCCGCGGGGCGCGGCATAAGGCTGCACCCCTGCCTGCGCGCAGTTCCCCGCGCTCCCGCGCCACCCGCTGCAGACCTCCGCCCCCTGCTGCGGGGGGGCCTCCCGGATCTGCGCACACGCTGGCAGCGCTGTCACGGAGACCCCTGGCCCCCAGAGGAACCTTGTGCAGAGTTGGGCTCTCGGCACAGGCTGGGCCGGAGACCTGGGGCGACGCGCGAGGACTCCCTGCGCCAATCCCGCCTGGACTCTGCCGGGCCCTCTTGCCCGTCCCGCTCAGCCTCGTCCGGGTTCCTCACAGGCCCGGTCGCATCAGGATTCGCGGGCCAGGCGCGGCTACTTTTTAATCCTGCTACTTGATTGTGATGTGCCATAAGAAACATATAGTATCACACATAACATAAGCATTGTCATGAACGATCATACTGGATGGTAGTATATATATATGTGTGTATATATATATATATATATATAGTATATATAACAACATCTTCTTGCGCTTGGAACGGCGTGGTCGGGCTGCGTCCCCAGGCGCGGTGGTGGTTGGTTTGCTTCGCTCTTGTTCAGCAGTGCGCTATACGCAGGTGCCGCGGCTACCTTTTCATCGCACTAACGGCTTTGGGTTGTGTTCAATCTTTTTTGCCTTCTGGAACGGCCCTGGTGTGGATGTCCTTTTATTTCTCCTGGTGTGTGTGTGGGGGGGGTGGGGGGTGGGGAGGGGGATTGGGCAAGGATTTCTGTCCCTAGGCGGTGGCCTGTCGTCCCCGGCTGGATAATGCCAGTGTTTTCCACGAGGGAGTGGGGCCGTCCACACCTCCGCCACCCCACCCCCAGGCAGTGTGAGCGCCCCTTGGCCAGTGTTTTAATTTTCCAGACTCACCCGGGTGACACTGCAACCCACTGTGGCTTCTGCGCTCAAACGTGACGCGTATGCGGGGATGGCTCCCGTCCCAGGGCAGAGGACGTGCCCGCCCGCCTTTCCTGGCCGAGGCCGTCCCACGGTGTGGGTGTGGAAGCTCCGGCCCCGCCTCTCCATCTCGACAGACAGACACAGGGATGGCTGCAGTCTGCGGTGAGCGACTTTCTGTGTAGCTAGCTCGGCGCTTCGGCACGTGGGGTGTTTATGTACAAGCAAACCTCGTGAGAACAGTGGGTTAAAAGATAAGCTGAGAAGCAGGCGATGGGCGCACCGCTAAAGACGCTGCTTGGGATGCCGGGGTCCCCATCCAGTGCCTGGCTTTCACTCCGGCTCTGCTCCCGATGCCAGCTCCGTTAATGCGCACCCTAGGGGACAGCAGGTGATGGCGCTAGTGCTTGGGTCTCTGCCACGGATGGGGGAGACCTGGATCGAGTTCCCTGCTCCCCCGCATTTGAGGAATGAACCAGTGGATGGGTGGTCTCTCTGTGTCTCTCAAATAAGATAAAATTAAAAAAGAAGTCTATTTTGGTACAAAAACTGAAATCCATGCATAAATCACATTTTCCTCGCATTTAAAGCATTTTTATTATGTATTTGAGAGGCGGAAAAGCAGAGACAAGCTGGCGGTCAGACCAGCTCCTGTCCACCAGTTCATTTCCCAAATGCTTGCAAAGGCTGAGGCTGGGCGGGAGCACAATGCAGGCCTCCCATGTGGGCGGC